ATATGTATGCCAAGAAGGGTGATTAATTGTCATGTCAGCCTCAGCCATATATACAATTTTTTAAACATAAACTAATCTCATGTGGTTACGTTTGTACAAGTACCATATATGGATGCTTTGTGATTAGCAACCGTTCGGACATGAGACTTCTGATCATTGGTTAAAAGATATAATGTTATATATCGAGAACTGGTTAAACCTCTTAAATATTCAAAAGTACTATGGTATGTATAAATCACAGCAAAAGTTACTATATAGCCAAATTCAACCAATATTATCTCAAATTAGTATTCTAATCATATAAATCTAATATTTTTGTATAATATCGATCTTAATGACGATAGTGAACTATTTTAACAATCCGGTCGATAATATGATACGGTTCCTTCTTCACTTCCTTATATGTATGCTAGCTCCTTCAACCTTATCAAGGGTTCTCAACTTTTTTCCATGTCTCATCAACCTTATCATAATTTCTATCAAGGGTTTTGTGCATGACTTGTCACCTCTCCAAGTCGATGGACTCCGATCCTATTTCGCCACCTGTCACCAAATATTAAAGAAGGGATCATCTACAATTCATTATCGTTTTCTTCAATTTTACATAGTATAAACTTTTGACAAAAACTTTATCAAAGTAAAGCTTTTTTACAACAACAAAGCAAAAGACATTTGTCAATCGTGATCTCTTTTCCTTGTGATTGTTACAATCCAACTTTGTCAGATAATTTGAAAGTGTGCATATGTAAGCACGAAAAAGATGAATCTTTACTTCATGAATTAGCATTCGAGAAATATATAACTAACATTCTATAGATACTAAACTCGGTATGTTTTTGAATCCAAACTAGTTCTGATATTACTAGTAGTTGATGCAAGTGCATATTATGTACGTATTGTAGAGATTGCACAAAGTTCAAATTCATGGGTTGATTCAAGTTGAAAGTTGACAAAATTATATGATAAGCTTGATAAGACTAATAATTTCCTTTGATCTTATACATTTTTCTAGTCTACTTGAGATCGAGCCAACAAGCACCCACGAAAAAGAAGCAAAAATTGGATATGATTTTGAGTTTGTTGACTGATTTTTTAATTGAGTCATCTATAAAATAAAATATAAAAAGTATATGACACGGTAAGTGAATTTATATAATGTTTTATCTTAAAGTTCCTGCAATAATTGGATAATTAAGGCCGACTAGAGTAATTACATGATGATACCAAAGTCGTTGGCCAAAAGCTCATGTGTCTCAATTCTAATAACTCATATACTAATACTTAATTGGTGCACAAAGATACACTAGTTCAATACAAATTTCAAATACGGTAGAATTCATTTCACAAGATGCCGTTATTAGGACCACCTAATTATTATTATTTTTTGTGAGAAGGACCACCTAATTATTAGTTCTTCGTTTAGTATATAGAACGAAGTCAAATCAAATACAATAATTTTGCCTAGTTTTAGGCTAACACTTTTTTTACTTCTTTCGTATCAATCCAATTCAACACCAAATAAGGATGGACATTTGATTCGGTAAAACCAATCTAATTTACACCAAATCGTACCGCACTGCACCAAATAAGATAGTAATCGATTCAATATTCAAAAAACAAAAAATGAAACTGTTTCGGAGATCGTGTCCATACGACCAAACCGAGGTCCGCTTTTTCTAAACCATTAAATTAAATTGATTCCCAAAGCGCAACCCATATTATGTCCATGGATGGTGGTGTGTGCAAATGGCTATAGGGAACTTGACCTCCATTTCCGGCCAATTGGCCGAGCTATATATACCTCTACCCAGTGGCGGACCTAGAAATTTTCTATAGGGGTGTCCTCTTTTAAAAAATAAATTTAATAAAAATAAAAAAAATTAATAAAAAAAATTGTAAATATGAAAATACCTTATTCGTACATGTTAAAAAAGTCCATGATGTGTTTTCATATTCGGAAATAATTGTAGAATACACTTGGTGTCTATAGTGTTTAAAAAAATTGTCTCTATATACACTACTAGAGAATCATTCACGAACTTATCGCATATTCGATTTGTAAAGTTGTTCTTGATGTAACCCAAAGCTGATAATCATAAAATCAATACAAATTAAGGGTAGTTTGAAATTAGTTTAATTGTTGTGTTTTTAAAATAATTAGAGATACGGAATGCCATTTTACTATTACACATTGTTCAAAATCGAACAACAAATGAGTTTAGCTCAACGGAAATTAAGTTTATTAATAATAATAGTGTTCTAGATTTAAATTATCCAACCTACCACTTATATTCCTATACACAAATGACAGTAGGATAATCTTTTTTTCAAATTTAAGGGGTGTCCCTCACTATCAATTATATTTTTTTTTGTCCATACGTAAATTACCCCCGGGGGTTGGATAATCGTTTTCCCAAAATTTAGGACACCCCTAAACCCCCTGAGTAGGGGTGTTCAAACGGTTTGGTTATCGTGGTAACCGTTTTAACCGGTACTATTTGGATAATTTGGTTTGGTTAATTTGGATAATTGGTTTGGTTTGGTTTGGTTAAAGTTTTTAGCTTGTTTGGTTTAGGTGGTTTGGTTTGGTTTCAGACACTCCTAACCAGTCAAACCAAATTAACCAGTTAATTAATTAGTCATATATCTAACATATATTATATACACATACTTAATACTTTGCATAACCACTCAAGAGTTAACGTTCATCCCTTTTAGACTCATATAAAATATAAAGCTCAATATTGCTCATATAGTGTATATTTGTATATGTAAAGTGTAGACCACAACATATGGACGCCTAATTTAGATAAATTTCATACATTATGATGGATGAAAACTTGAAAGGAAGGTCATTTTCCAGCCTATGATAATTGCTAAGAGGCTAAGTCAATTTACACAAACACAACAATTCATTAACCCATACAATTGTCATAAATTTTTGTTAGGTGAATACTTCTATACTAATCGTAAGACAATTGTCTTAGTTGCATGTATTTTTGTTAAGGGTCAACTATAACTACGTGTTGATTGTTATGTTTTATTCATTATATCAATTGTGAATTGTTGCATTAACGGGAAAATTTTCATCATTAATGATAATGTAATTTTATATGCTTAATCTGGTTAACCAATTAACCAAACCGATTAAACTTTAGTTTGGTTAATTTGGTTGTTGTATTAGTTTGGACAGTTTGGTTATAATATTGTATTCCATTGTTAATGAAATTTAACCTTATTTGATTTGGTTATAGCCATTGTAACCATTTGAACACCCTGAGTCCGCCCCTGCCTCTACCCACTCACGTACTGAAATTAAAGCCCAGTGAAGTCCACTCCAATTAGGGATCAGATGGAGCCAATAAAGGGCCACCAGTCCACCCACAAAGCAATCCCACTCCAAGAGCTACCACCCACTAATTAAGGAATACTATACCACATCAAAACATTCCTATAATACTTCTTTACTTTTCCGTACTATGATCTCTTACCAAAGTTATGTCAAAGTAAGGTTTCCTTAATTATGCGTGTGTGTGGATATGAGTTGGAGTTGGACAGACGTAACAACAACAATTCTCAATCTCTTTTTCTTACGATCGTGTTGCAATCAAACTTTTTTTTTTTTTTTTTTTGACAAAAGATAATCCATTAGATCAAATAACGATAGTTACATCCTGGAAGACAGCCAGGCCTGAAAATCAAAGAAACGGCAAGTAGCCGGGTACAAAGACAGGGCTTTCCTAGCCACCAAATGGGCTACCCTATTGTAACTCCGACCTATAAACCGTACACGGAACCCAGAATGGACAGCTAAAAGATTTATAACTTCTTGAAGAATCACTCCCATCTGGCTATCCCTCGCATCCGCCCTATTAAGTTTATCAATAATGACCTTGGCGTCGCCTTCAAACTGCACCTCAGTAAAACCCAAATTTAGGCACCACCGGATGGCCTCACGAAGAACCAACAGCTCGACAACTGGAGGATTATCAATATGGGGAAGCTGAAATCCAGCCGCCAAGAACGGACTGCCAATAGCATCCACCAAAACCATTCCACCCGCCGAATGAGAACCAGATCTCGTCGCCCCATCCCATCGACACGAGGCTATATATTTCTTTGCAATCAAACTTTGCCAAATATATAGTTAGAAAGTCTGTGCATAAGAAAGCACGTTAAAAGATGAAACTTTGCTTGATGTGGATTAGCATGCAAAGAAATATATAGTTGGTTCCACCATTCTATATATACTAAACTCGATAGTGTACTTTGCTTCATAGTATCTATGATGATGATGTCTTTTGTGGGCATATTGGTGGGATTATTTCATCTGAGTGTATGTCTGCCTCAACGTCAGTTGTCCTTTTCAGTAGAGATTTATAGTGTTTCTAGTCAATATAAGTGCACCGTACATATTGTAAGAAAGTGGCTAAGTATGGACCTCTCCCAACAACTCGAATTAATAGGGTTTCTAACGCAATTAAATTCGAGCCAACGGGCACTAACGGAAAAGAAGTTGCAATTGGACTCGCTTGCTGATTTTTTAATGCAAGAATCTATAATATAAAATACAAAAAGTTGAATGATACAGTAAATAAACGAATATAAATTTCTATTTTAAACCTCCTGCAATAATTCGAATTGTTGAGACGGAATGATTTAATTATGTGATGATATATATCAAAATCGGTCACCAAAAACTCGTTAATGTATCTTAATCCTAATAACCCCTATACTAATTAATACTTAATTGATGCACATAATTCACTACTATTTTCGAACACAATAATATATATATATATATATAAATAATTATTAGGACCAACTAATAATTGAGTCATTTCCATAGTGTCCAAAACCAATATGGTGCACAAAGATATGTATATATATACCTTTACCCACCCTCGATATTGAAATGGAACATACATAGGCCACAAAGCAAACTCCATTTGTAGTCTATATCCAAATTACAACGTAACTCTCTACCCCCAATGGATCAGATGGAGCCAAGTGCCACCAACAACAACAAAATCCCTCACAATCACAACCACAACAAGACATTCCTCATACTCCTCAACTGCCTCCTCCTCGCCGTCGGCCAGGTCGGCGGCCCCATCCTCTCCCGGATGTACTTCCTCCACGGCGGCACCCGAAAGTGGCTGGCCGCATGGAGCGTCAACTCCGGCTTCCCCATCCTCCTCCTCCCCATCGCCATCTCCCACTACTCCAACACCACCACGCGCCGCCACAACCGCAACAACCCTTTCGTCCTCACCACGTGGCTCTTCTGCTCCAGCGCCGTCGTCGGCATCCTCTTCGGCGCCACCAACTACTTCTACTCCTTCGGCGCCTCCTACCTCCCCGTCTCCGTCAACTCCTTAGTCAGCTCCTCCCAGCTCGCCTTCACCGCCCTCTTCGCCTACCTCATCGTCAAACAAAACTTCACCCACTACTCCATCAACGCCGTCGTCCTCATGACGTTCGGCTCCGTCATCCTCGGGGCCCACATGGACGGAGACATCCCCGAGGGAGAGACCAAGACCAAGTACGTCCTCGGGTTCGTCATGACGATCGCGGCGGCCGCGTTTCACGGCTTCTCCATCACGGCGTTAGAGTTCGCCCAACGGAAGTCCGGAGTCGCCGTCACGTTCGACGTGGCCATGCACGTCCAGTTCGTGGTGTCGCTTTTCGCCACCATCTTCTGCACCGTCCCCATGGTTGTGAACAGGGACTTCGAGGCTTTGTCGGGAGAAGCGGCCGAGTTTGGTCTCGGGGAAACGAAGTATTACCTTGTCGTATTCGGAGCGGTGATAGCGTTGCAGGTTATGGTGATAGGGAGCTTGGGTTTGTTGCTGTGTTCTTCGTCGCTGTTTACGGGGCTGGTCACGTCGCTTCTGGTCCCGGTTCAGCAGGTTTTTGCGGTGATTTTCTTGAGGGAAGGGTTTAATGCGGAGAAGGGGCTGGCGTTGGCTCTGTGCCTGTGGGGTTTTGCTTCTCACTTGTATGGAGGGTATAAGGCGAGCTTGAAGAAGAAGAAGAACCACGACTACGACGTAGAAGATCATGGTGATGATGATGAGCAAGGAGCAAAGAGTAGTGGTGATCATGCTTAGAAATGGACTTTTAAGTGTAACAAGTGTTTTAAGGTGAAAAGTTGTGAGAGGTCGTTTAGTTCGGGAGAGGCTATAACTCCATCTCTCTTTTTTAGTGGCGGAATAAAAAACATCTCAGCCCGTGTAGCTCAAGAGAGATTATAATCCGATCACTTTCCTTTTAATAAAGGAGTCAGGAACTTGAACGGAGATGAACAAAACTAACCTGCAAACTAATCTATTTTCTAAATTTATTGCAAGTTTTTACTTGTAATTTAAACCACATTTAAAAGGGTATCGTTTGAAAAGTTGACAGAGCAACTACAATCGCCATGCGACATGATTTTTCATCTCGAAAAGGTATTTCTTGTCACGAAATCTATTTTCTCACTGTTCCACCAAATTTGTGACAATTTGCAAAAGATAGTTCAAATTTGCCATCGAACCCCCGCATTTAGCAACAGAAAAATTCTTTTCGTCAAACTTTGAATCCCTGAAAATCAGATTCTTTGTAGTGATCAGCCCGTCTAGCTTAGAAGAGGCTATAATTCAATCTCTTTCGTTCAATGATGAAACCATAAATTTGAGCTTGTGTAACAAAAAGAGAGGTTATATTCCAATATCTTTCATATTTGATTTGACTTGACAATGTAATATGAGAAATGGACTAGGATAATAATAATTGTATAATTAGGATACATTGAGAGTGAGGAAATAATTGAATAAGGACTAGGAAATAATTGTTTACTTAAAAGGCCTCTCTTTAGCGTACTTTATTGAATGAAGTGGGCCGACTTCTGCTAATAGTCTAAAGTTTGGGCTTTCCTCCAAAAATAGGCCCTACTTCTTCAAGCCCAAAGTCCACTTCATAGCGTCTTACCGCCCGTTCAATGTCCATGGAGACTGACTGACTGACTATCAGTTTCACAATGACAATGACAATGACAATGACAATGACAATGGCAAGAAAACCGGCCTTGGCTGCAACTTTTTCCAAGCAAACTCAAACATACTGAAAATGATCCCACCTCGCTTGGGAACTATTTTAAAAGGCAGAGGTCAGCCACCTCCTGATCATCGTGGAACGGCGGAATAAAAGATGATGTCGCGAGTCGCGACGCGTACCTTGTCCTTCACTATTAGTTTGCAAGCAGAGTTGTGGTCGAATCAACACCGGCTCTGCTGCCAGCCCACACCAACTGACCAACATCACTACCGACGTCTGTTAATCGTGACAAAGAGTTAATCGAAACGAGTGCGATAGGGACGAGATTTACGTGGTTTCCTTGTTCTTTGCAGAACAAGACTAGTCCACGGTCAAGCTAGCTCTTCTCTTATTTCTCATAGCTCAACACTGTACACTAATGGTACATATATACAAAGGGTTTGATTAACCCTAATCACCTCATTCGGCCATTATCATGGGCCGAACTCGGTATGGGCCGAAGCCCTACAATTCATCTCTCAACAGCCTCCCCCAAATTGATGGGGAGTTCTCAACAGCAATTTGCCCGACAGAAAGAAATGGCGACTAGCTGAAAACGACTTGGTGAACAAATCTGCTATCTGGTCCTCGGAGGAGATATACGAGATGCGAATAGTACCATCTCGAACAAGATTCCTGATGTAATGAATATGTACCTCAATGTGCTTGGTCCGATCGTGCATAACTGGATTCGTAGCGATACGTATGGCACTAGTATTATCAACATAAAGTTCCAAAGGTCTAGCACACTGTACTCCGAGATCACCTAGCAATCTCTGCAACCATTCAAGCTCCGATGTGACCTCAGACATAGCTCTGTACTCAGCCTCAGTAGAGGATTTTGACACTCGATCCTGCTTCTTGCACCGCCAAGAGATAAAAGAGCTTCCCAACCTGATACACCAGCCCGAAGTAGATTTTCGAGTGTCAATACACCCTGCATAATCTGAATCTGAGAATGCCTGAAGAGCCAATGACCCAGATGATGGAAGAAATAAACCAACATCTGCGGTACCCCGTAGATATCGTAATATCCGATGCACTGCATCCATATGTGCTGTCCTAGGAGCTGCCATAAACTGACTAACAACCTGTACTGCATATGCAATATCTGGTCGTGTAGATGTAAGATAGATGAGACTCCCAACTATACTCCGGTACTGCTTCCCCCCGTCTTTCAAGAGATCTCCAGTATCCCGACTGAGCTTCAAATTGAGCTCCATAGGTGTTGAGACTGGCACACTGTCCGTGTAACGAGATGTGTCAAGTAAATCCTCAATATACTTCTTCTGACTTAGTAAGATACCTGCAGGTGATCGAGTGACTTCCAAGCCAAGATAGTAGGACAGGGACCCAAGCTCCTTAAGGTTGAAAGATGCATGGAGACCTTTCGTGAGAGCATCAATCCCTGTAGTATCATCTCCAGTCACAATCATATCATCTACATATAGGAGGAGCACAACCAGACCACGTGAAGTATGCCGAGTGAACAGTGATGGGTCATTCAGACTCTGAATAAACCCAAGATCAAGAATAGTAGACTGAAATTTATCAAACCAGGCACGCGGTGCCTGTTTTAACCCATAGATAGACCGATGGAGAAGACAGACCTGACCAGGAGTGCCAAAGGAGTACCCAGGAGGGGGTTCCATGTAAACTGTCTCCTTGAGTTCGCCATGCAGAAATGCATTTTTAACATCTAGTTGATAGAGAGGCCATCCTCGAATAGAAGCAACTGCAAGTAAAGATCGAACCGTGACCATCTTTGCTACAGGAGCAAAGGTCTCCTCAAAATCAATGCCATACTCTTGGGTAAACCCCTGAGCAACAACCCTCGCCTTGAATCGCTCAATTGTACCATCTGGGAGAACCTTGATTGCATAGACCCACTTACTACCGACAACAGGTATCTCAGGAGGCGGACGATCAACCATTTCCCATGTATTGTTGGCATGAAGAGCTGAAATTTCATCTGTCATAGCCCCGTCCCAGCGAGGATCACCGACAGCCTGGGAGTATTTCGTGGGAATCTTGATCGGGTCTACCTGAAAGGAAACATAGTCACGGTAATATATAGGTGGGCAGCCTTGGGTCGATCTCTGTGACCGCCGAAGCTGCAAGGGCTCAGGCGGAGGGGAAGGTGGTGGAGACGGAGCAGCTGAGGTCGAGGACGAGCCGGAGAGGGAGCTGGGAGGCGTCGGAGGTGATGGGACGGGAGACGGAGAAGCTGGGGACAAGGGTAGTGGGCTGTCCGGGGGATCCATGTCTGGGGCTGCATCATCATCATCATCAGGAAAAACAGGTAGAGGAAGATGGACATCAAACAAGGGAGATGACTCAGTGGAAGGAGAGTAGTACATGAGGTTTTCAAAGAACACGACATTACATGCAATACGAATACGACGAAGTGAAGAATCATAGCATAAATAACCTTTATGGATGTCACTGTACCCAAGAAACGCACAGCGAACAGTTTTGGAAGTCAATTTTGTACGTTCTGCTCGGGGAAGAAGAACAAAGCAGAGACATCCAAAAACACGAAGACTAGAGTATGAAGGCTGTTTTCCATAGAGTCGAAAATAGGGGCTGACTTGACCTAAGACCGGGGTAATCTGATAGTTAATAAGACGAACTGCTGTGGAGACAGTTTCTGGCCAGAAATAGGAGGGAACATGAGAAGCTAGAAGTAAAGCACGAGTTACCTCAAGGACATGTCTATTTTTGCGCTCAACAAGGCCATTCTGTTGGGAGACACCGGGACAGGATTTTTGAGTGAGAATACCAAGACTCTTGTACAAGTCAAGAAGTGGAGTGGAACTGAATTCCCCACCGGGATCGGATCGAACTACACGAACTGTCTTACTAAACTGAGTCTGAATCATCTTTATAAATTCAGTAGCAATGGCTAAGAGATCAGATTTCAGTCTCAGAAAATAGACCCACGTAAACCGAGTGGCATGATCAATAAACAGTGCAAAATACTTGTAACCATTGCGAGAAGTTATAGAACTAGGCCCCCACAAGTCGGTATGAATTAAATGAAACGGTTCAGTGATGACAGTTTGACTTGACGGAAAGGAAATTCTAGTCGTCTTAGCCTCCACACAACTAGTACAAGAAAAATCCGACGAATGTGCAACTTTAGAACCAAAAAGATGTTGTTTGAACATGGTACTAAGGCGTGCAGAATTGGGATGACCCAATCGAGCATGCCACAAGTGAAATTGACGATCACCTAGACTCGAGAAGACCGGAAGGGACAATGACCTAGACACCGAAGGATGACATGATGATGATGACTGCAGTTCTTCAAGCTGATCGAGATGAAATATGCGCCCATGTTTACTACCCTTGCCGATCTCCCGCCCCGTCGTCAGATCCTGCACAGAACAGCCAGAAGGTGCAAACACAACCCGACAACCATGCTCAGTTAATTGTCCAACAGAAACCAGGTTAGGAACAAGTTTCGGCACAAATAAAGTGTCAGATAATGATAGTGCCGGAGTTTGAGCACTCCCTACTCCTGCAACAGGTAAACGTGCGCCATTTGCTACTTGTAGAGATAAGTCATTAACAGGACGAACATTCGATAGCAGCGGTTCTTGGCTGGTCATGTGATTAAAACAAGCTGAATCGAGAATCCAAGGCGATCGTTTACCTGAGACCTGAAGACTTGCAAAGGCGGACGATATGGCTTTATTCACTAGTTGCTCAAGAGCCGTCGGAGAGACCAGAATGCCCTCATGTCCAGCAGCCGAGGTGTCAGCTGGCGGTGGTGCAGCCTGCGTGACATATGCTGGCCGAGTGTTGCCGCTGGGTGGAGGACGAGTTCCAGCTCCTTGGGCGCGCTGCTGTAGGGTAGGACAGTCGGGAACAATATGTCCCGTCTGTTTACAGTACACACAAATATTGCGTCGGCGGCAGTATTTCTTGGTGTGGCCCTTTGCATGGCAATGGTGACACTCCACCTCACGTCGTTGTTGAGCACGGTATGCAGCATATGCTGTATCATCAAGAGCACCAGAATTTTCAGGAACACCAGAGCTGGGAATGGACGAATTACCAGAGAGAGGAACGCCAGCAGCAGGAGGTTGAGGCCTGGAGGATCCGCGCGCCACTGCAAAGGCTCCTACCTCGCCGTGACCAGGTCGAGCATCGAGCGATGCTTGCGTGCGGAGTCTGGTTTCCTCACGGATCAAGTCCCCAAGGACATGTTCAAATTGCAGCTGAGCCCTATTCAACAACGTGGCACGAACAGCTTCATACTCGGGTCGGAGGCGCGCCAAAAATTGGAGCAGCCGTGTCTTGTTGCGTTCAGCCCTTACCTCCGCCGAAGCCTGACCAGAAAGCAGCTGGGCGCCCAGCAGATCCTGCTCGGTCCATAAGAGGCGAGCATCATTGTAGTACGTGGTCACGTCCTTCTCGCCCTGGTGGAGCTGCGACAGTTCCACCTCAATCTCGAACTGACGGGCGACGCTAGTCGTGGCGTACGTGTCCCGAAGTGATTTCCACATCTCGGCTGCAGTTGGGAGAAGACGAAGTCCCAAGACAATGGAGGGATCAACCGTCTTGAGCAGCCAGGAGCGTACCTTGGCATCAGACTGATGCCACTTCGCCTTCTCAAGATCGGAACCATCAGGAGGCAGCGTGGTGCCATCCAAAAAACCAGCAAGGCCTTGTCCTTCCATGAACGTGCGAAACTGAAATTCCCAGAGTGCGAAGTTCTTCGAATTCAAGCGCGTGCTAATGCTATCAGTATCCATTGCAGAAGGCTCTGATACCATGTTAATCGTGACAAAGAGTTAATCGAAACGAGTGCGATAGGGACGAGATTTACGTGGTTTCCTTGTTCTTTGCAGAACAAGACTAGTCCACGGTCAAGCTAGCTCTTCTCTTATTTCTCATAGCTCAACACTGTACACTAATGGTACATATATACAAAGGGTTTGATTAACCCTAATCACCTCATTCGGCCATTATCATGGGCCGAACTCGGTATGGGCCGAAGCCCTACAATTCATCTCTCAACAACGTCAAGCAGCCTATTAGAACATCGGCAGCTGCCTATAAAAAAGCAGCTCCTCTGCTCGCTCGCTCGCTCTTATTCCGGGGGCAGAATTTAGATCAGAGGGGGGGAACACACTGAAAAACACAGAGACTTTGCTTTCATTTTTCTGCCCTGGGCTGGGAGTGGAGTGGAGGTGGAGCAGCAGAAGCCATCAGCTGAAAAGGACGGAACATTAATAAAAGACCATACCAGACCAGACCAGACCAGGTCAGTTTTCTCTCAATTAATCTCCCCCCAATCATAATCAATTTCTCATCTTCAGACATCAACATCCCCTCTCCACATCAATAACATTCCCTCTTTCCACAAACAAGCAAAACCATAACTGAAACGTCTTTTTTCTCAAAGATTCATAACCAACCTGTGCAGATCCTACTGGATGGAACCCTGCATCATAAAAGGAAATTAGAATCACAGAAAATAGAAACGAACCCAGAAGGGTAAAACAACTCATCGGCGGGGTGCCGCGCCGCCGCTCTCCTCTGCGTCCTCCCTTTCTTGAGATCGATCGGCCCCCTCGCACCCAAAAAGTGAATCACTAGAAAAGAAAACCAACCAAAATCGATTGAAGGAGGCCTACCCAGAGACCAGGGCTCTCTCTCTCTCTCTCTCTCTCGGCGGCCGGCGCCCTTTCTTCTTTCACGGTCAGCATCGTTTCCAGTGACGGTAGAAAGAGAGAGAGAGAGAGAGAGAGACGGGAGGGAGGGAGCTAGAATAGATGGGGTTTCTTCTCTCTTGTGCTTTCTTCATTTCCTTAGAAAATACGATGTGAGGGAGAAGAAGAATGAAGCGAGGCGGCGGTCAGAGAGTTAGATGGAGGAGGAGCCTATGGTTTCGGTTCGGAGCAAGCGAAATGGAGAGGAGGCCGCTGCCTGGAATGGAGGATTGGGCTGGGAACTGGGATTACATATAGATAGCTCCATTTACCGTTTTGCCCCTCCATTTCCCGGAAATCACAATCTTCCCACCGTCTCCTGCTTTTGTGAAAACTGAAAAGGCAAAGGTAGTGAGTGCAAGGCTGAAGGTAATAGGAGATCATGGCCTCCAGCTAAGTAGCAAACATCCTCTGCCTCTTTAACTATTGGCCTACCATGTGTTTAACTCTAATACAAGTTGTCAATTCGATTTAATTGGTTGTCCGGTTAAGGAAGTGGGTTGAGTGTTAATGTCATGGTTTGTCAAACTGTAACGGTGGTTCAACGGTAAATTAACAGTATTGCAGGCTAAATTGGTAGACGGTGAACCACAGTTGTACCATAAAATATCCTACATCTTACTTTCCCGGTACAGTTTTCGGTACGGTTTCACTAACTTTGGTTAATGTTAATATCTGTTTAGTCCTGATATATGAAAAAAAATCGTATATTGTTCTTACAATTATAATTTATATTGAATTTAACATATGATCAAATCGTATACTAAAAGAGTATGAAACAACCTTTTTAATTCTTATACTTTGGAATAATTAGTACGAACAACATACTAATTGTCCTTAACATTTCATCAAACTTAAAATCATATAACCCTCGGTATTTTTTAAAAAAAAACTTGAATGTATTTTTAATTAACAATCAAATTTCTAAATTGTAAGTCAATCAAAGTAAAATCAAATTGTAGTTGTTAATTTGTGCTTGACCAGTTGATTTGAGTCGTGGTTTTTTTCTTTATCTCACTCGTAGTTATCTGACTCGAAATCTCTTCTTTATTATATCAAGAGCATGTGAGTGGTGTTTCATTTATGATTAATACGAGCAACTAGCTTAACAACAAAAAAATAGTATAGTTAAGTTACACAATAAACGCCAAATTATGGAAAGTGTCAAGACATTAATATAGATGATGGAATTTCTTACTTTAAAATCAAACATTTAAATCTTCTTCTTTTTTTGAGTGACTAATGATGGAAGAATCATTATTTTCAATAGTTCAGTTTTTTGTTTTATTTATAAAATTACTTAACTTGTAAATTATTCATTTTGTGGCAGGAGTTCTATCTGTGCATATAACATCAGTGCGCCTCTGGCTGTGCGCAGAAGCTATATATGAAGTGAACCGAAATGCCTTTGGCGAGCGAGGAGTGGCGGGAGGGACTAATGGAGGGTTGGTGGAATTATTATTGGGCGCCGGTGGGGATAGCGGTGGCGGTCGTAGTGATCGGGAGCCTGAGATGGGCGGCGAAGAGAGGGAACGTGTGGTGGCAAGAGTCGGGCCTGCCGGAAGAAATGCGACGGCGGCTGCCTCCAGGGGATTACGGCTGGCCACTCATCGGCAACATGTGGTCATTCCTTTCGGCTTTCAAGTCTCATGACCCCGATTCCTTCCTCCGTACTTTCACCAACAGGTTCTCTCTACATCTTCCTCCATTTCTTCATGATTCGTCTCCTTCACAACAATTTAATGATTTGCTTACCTTATGTGCTTGAGCAAATTGGCTTGCCTATTATAATTAGGTTTTAACTTTTTCCATAAAAATAATAGATCTTATGCAACAGAAATCGAATTGCATTCACCTCCGTTAAACCCCCATATCATAAAAAAATTGAATCGCGTCACATAGCTCATCGGGAAGCTGCACAATCCTTTTTAGGTGCTTAACTTGATAATTTGTTTTCTATACCAAAAGTTAATTGGCAGCAATGAATACTGCGTGCGGCAGCCAAGTGGTGAGTGACTCGACGAAACACAAACTGGTGGAATGAATGGGTTGGCTTTGTGGGTAAAAGAATAATATGGTAAGGGTGGGTGGTGGGTAGGCGACAAACTTTTGCATCCTAAAAAGGGAGAAGAAAGAAACAAAATAATGAGAATGAGGAAGTGCTAGCTTCTCTTGTTGTGACTTGTGAGTGCTACATTCTTTTAATATCTCATATGAAATCATCATCCTAATTCCCTATATTTGGTATGACTTTTAAAATACTTTTTTTCGTTCAAAAGTTGATTTCAATAATTTATCAGTCAAAACTGTTTCCTTTTTAAAAAGCTCAAACTAGAAGCAGTTTTTTTTAAGTACAACAGTGTCCTAATTAATTACATTAGGCTTGACGATAAGTAATTAACTTTGTCATCCCCATTTCATGTATATTAGTAATCCTTAAACTATAATGATCCCTACCGCCTCTAGAATTAACTAATTATCCTTGTTGCACGCTAGCATTCTTAGTCATTCGTAACTCTAACTTGGAAGTCAGTGTCACAATATTCGAATTACAAACAAAGGGCCCCAGCCCTTAGTTGTTTGTTAATATACTTTCTGTTTTAAAAGATCATGTTAAGTTTGAACGGGAGCATCTTCGATCCTGAAGATCTTGAAACTCATAAAAACTATTAAGAGGTTGAGTTTTATTTCAAAATTTGAATTGAAAGTGGTATATTACCAATAAGTTAATTCAAAGGTTCATAAAATTAATAAGAGGTTGAGTTTTATTTCAAAATTTGAATTGAAAGTTGTATATATTATTACGGGTTAATTGCATGGTTGGTCATTGAGATTACAAAAAAAGTTCAAGTTTGGTCACTCGAAATATTTAAATCCATTGGTGGTACTTCAGTTTACTCAAACCGTTCACGTTTGGTCACTCTCCGTCCAACTCCGTTAACTTTTGTTTACGTGGCGGTCAACTCTAAAAGTTGACCGTTAAATGTGTGATGTGACAATTAGATTGTGAATAATGTAATAATGTACTAGATACAAATAATGGATATTATAATAGTTTGGGTGGAGCAATTTTGGAGAAAAAATGTTTGGCAAATGTTGTTTTTTTTCTCTATTTTTTTGTTTCTTTACTAACTGGAGGTACAACATGGTTGTCCATCTAATAGTTATTAATATCATTTCACCATTTGATTGCTTGATATGCTTTAACTCTTATTATATACTTATATATGACAGAAAGATAAATATAATAGTTACTAATATCATTTCATCATTTGATTGCTTGATATGTTTAACTCTTATTATATACTTATATATGACAAAAAGATCATGATAATGACTATTTGTTACGATAAAAAATAATCCAAAAAATATTTGACTAATAAATAGTCATTACCCAAAAATAATTTCATTTAGAAACCTTTTTTATATGATTGTTTTGTTTTGCTTTTCTTTGAAATCAATTGGGCCACAGATATGGAGGGCGTGGGCTTTACAAGGCATTGATGTTTGGACGGCCCAGCGTGTTCGTGACAACCCCGGAAGCAAGCAAGCGAGTGCTAATGGACGACGAAGCCTTCAAGCCCGGCTGGCCCACCTCCACGGTGGAGCTAATGGGCAAGAACTCCTTCATCGGAATCTCCTGCGAAGAGCACAAGCGGCTTCGCCGTTTGACCGCAACCCCAGTCAACGGGTACGAAGCCCTCTCCCTCTACATGACCTTCATCGGGGAGAACGTCGTCGCCGCTCTGGAAGAATGGTCTTCTGCCGGGGAGCCCTTGGAGCTACTGACCCAGCTCCGAAAGCTCACTTTCCGGATCATAATGTTCATCTTCCTCAGCTCCGAGTGCGAGGACGTCATGGAAACCCTGGAGAGACAGTACACCACGGTCAACCATGGAGTCAGAGCCATGGCTATCAACTTCCCTGGTTTTGCTTACCACAGAGCCCTCAAGGTAAAACAATTGTCCTTTGATTGTAGTGAGAATCATAATCATAATCAATCTCAATGATAAATTTCATATGTTAGGCACGTAAGAAAGTGGTGGATGTGCTACAATTAGTTCTAGATGAGCGCAGAAGCAGAATCAAACATGAGGATGGGAGTGGGAAGAAGCAATTGGGAAAGAGTAAAAAGGTGGACATGATGGATGAATTAATGAGCGTTGAAGATGAGAATGGGCGGAAGCTTAGAGATGAAGAGATCATAGATGTTCTCTTGATGTACTTGAATGCTGGCCATGAATCCTCTGCTCATGTCACCATGTGGGCAATGGTGTTACTACATCAGCACCCTGATTGCCTTCGCAAAGCCAGGGTATGCAGGCACATATTTCCCTCTATTTAGTTTGCATCCGGTATTCAGATTCTGCAATTCCTGCTTATACAACAGGCTACATACTTAATCAGGAGGAGTCAGAGGAAGTTGTAAAGCGAAGGCCAACCCATCAAAAGGGTGTATTGACTCTCAAGGAAATACGCCAAATGGATTACCTATCTAAGGTTGCAATTTTTAGCTCTCAATGTCCTAATCTAGTCTGTTCCTTTAACAGCTTGCTAGTTAGTCATGTATAGTTTTGATGTTGACTAATGTGTTCTGCAGGTGATAGATGAGACACTCCGATTCATAACATTCTCGCTCGTTGTATTCAGAGAAGCGAAAACAAACGTGGATATGAGTGGTGAGTCAATTGATGGTACAGATTAATTAATCATTGATCATTCTCCAAAATGCTGCATTTTGTTAATGTACGCAAGGGGAAAATGGAACATTTGATCTTCTGACAGGTTATACGATTCCTAAGGGCTGGAGGGTACTAGTTTGGTTCAGGGGTGTTCATTTGGACCCTGAGGTATACCCGAATCCAAGAGCATTTGACCCTTCCAGATGGGATGTAAGTCCATATCCATGTAACATGATGAATCACATTTGTCACCTGAGATGTTATGCAAGAGAAATAGAATTCAAGTAATCACACTAATCGAAATTTCCAAAAATGCAGAATCTGACACCAAAGGCGGGTACTTTCCTTCCATTTGGAGCAGGAAGTCATATGTGCCCTGGAAACGATCTTGCCAAGATCGAAATTGCTGCTTTCTTACACTATTTCCTCGTCGGCTATGAGTAAGCAGTAGTGCAACTTGCAACTCTTCCCTCATCACGTGTTTGACTCGATCTTGACATTAACTGTTCGGATTTCGTGATTAGAGATTTTGGATGGATGATATTTTGGATTATTGTTGCAGGCTCGAACTCGTGAATCCAGAGTGCCCCTTACAGTACTTGCCTCACCCGCGACCAAAAGACAATTGTTTGGCTCGTATCAAAAAGATATCGCAACATGGGTAGTCATCCTTCTCCTCCTCTCCATCGTCATCCTCTGCTTCCTGCTAGGGGGAAGAGAAGCACATTGCACAGGTTTATGTTTGGCATGTTATGTTGTGGTGCGATTGATGGTGCTAGGCTACCCTAATTCTGTTTGTGAAACGAAATAATCTAGTAGGTGGTTCACTACTGGAAAAGCTCACGAGTACCATTGTGTGTTAGGGGTCAATGATTACTTGTAGTAAATAAACAACTTGTGTTCTTTGTTACCACCTGTATTCTCGTGGTTGAGAATGAATCATAGTTTTCAACTGAATCGCTTGGAATATTTTAAAGCAAAGGATTAATGTGACTGACATGGAGATTGCCAAAATTTTCTCACTAAGATTATTATGGTAGAGCTTTTTTTTGTTGGAGAGATCCAGGGTACTGTTAAAGTGAAGGTATTGGTGTACTTTCATCGTATGATTTATGGAGAAGACCATCTGTTGCTTTATGGAGACAAGTCTTTCTCTGAATTATCATAAACATCAATAGCTTGGAAGCTCAAAAACCTCGTTTGGAGCCCAATTGAAGATTATTGAAAGCTCATATATTAATGTTAGTGTGACATGAGTTAGGCAGTCGAACTTAAATTGGAGCTCATGGTGGTTCATTGCTTGGAGCAAGGACCAAACAGTGGTATATGTTAGATTTCCTGTTCAAGGACCATCAAATCTCCAACGACTCGCTCATAGCAATGCTCGCACCTACTCATTGTTATAAATAATTCGATCACCCAACCACCATTATTAAAATAAAATAAAAATCGATCACCAACGATAATCTGTTTAATTGATTACATATCATTAAGGCTACTTTATCAAAAAAAACATATCATTAAGGCTTTTGTACATCTCTTCTCCTCTGGTCTCTCTCTCTCTCTCCTAAATATCAAAACTTTGAGACAACAAGGCAGCAAAAGAACTGACCACACAACGCATGTAAATCCCTAATGGATTTATCATTTTATGCCTCTGATTTCACCAGCCACTAGTTTTCTTCTGAACTTTGGAGCTCTGAGAGGATCTATCGCCCTTGTCTTCGTATAGATTTCTGGAGGAGATTCGACTCTGCCTCCCACGGGCTGCTGCTATTGCTCGCTTCTTGTGCTTGTTCAGCCTCTTGGTCAGCTCTGCATCACCCTCTGTTGCATTCTCTTCGTCTTCGTCTTCCTGGAATGGCCCAATACCCCAAAAAAGAAGAGGATCATTTCAGGTAGACCCAAAATTTAAGGCTAAGCAACTATAATCAAACAACTTACATATATGACATTGACAAAGTAATTTTGACAAGAGTCGGGAGTTTTCACCACTACCATAAGAAACTCGATACTACAGGACACTTAAATTCATACCTCATCATTATCATCTTGTGTTCCAAGGCTACCACTTTGTGCTTTTTCACTCAATTGATTCTCAACAATTTTTTCCTCCTCTTCATTCGTTTGCTCTTCCTGAATGGTATATTTTCCGATAAGCACCATATAAAATAATTCATTGTACGAGAAGAGAGAGTGAATATAATATTTGAGGAAACAAAACATGCTCTTCTATCTGCAAAGAATCTAAGGGCCCGTTTAGTATCATTTTGTTGTTGTTGTGGTTGCAGTGGTGTTGTGTAAACAGATGTACAACCACAACAGGAAAAAAACAGAAAACACAAACCTGTTTAGTTGATAAATCTGAAAAATCATGAAAGCTGAAAACAAGAAACAAAAACGCGTTTAGTCGAAATTACCTGCTGCGGGGAGATGGAGTTAGGCATTTATGGAGGGGAAGTGGTCGTTAGCCCGTTATCCCTTATCCGCCTCTTCTCGGCTTTTTAGCTGCTTGCTTCTACCACAACACCATCTGTAAATCCACCAAGAACGCCAGCTTCCATGTTAACAATACCAAAAAAAGTAACAGTTCAAAAGAGATAAGAAATTCAGGCGAATTCTAGAAAGAAAAAATTGTTTATTCCATCTATTATTTCTCCTTGATCTCATCTATTTCTCGCCTGCTTAGATTGTGCCGGCGGACTGGCGGCGGAGGCAGGCGTCGGCGGCTGCGTGGGCGACGGGCTGGGCGGCGGGTCGCGCGGGGGGAGGCTGGGCGACGGCGGGCTGGGCGGGCGGAGGCGGGAGGAGGCGGATGTGAGGAGTCTCTATCGAGAAGAAGAAAGAAAAATGGAGAAGAAGAAAAATGGGTTGGGGCGGCTGTCGAAGTAGGGTTTTGGGGGGGGGGCTGTGTTAAAAAAAAATTGCTTCTGTTGGGATTCGAAAACTGGTCTGTTTTAATGAAATCAAGCGCCCAACCAGTAGGAATCCCGTGTGCAACATGTTTAAGAATCAGATCCAAAGCTATAAATTGTTGTTTCTCATATTTGGGCCTTGTTGTGCAACTCTGATTCACAACAAAAAATAAAAACCCAACTAAACACGTTTTTTTTTCTTGGTTTTCCAAATTTCTTAAAACACAACAGGAAACAAAAACAAGCAACAATACTAAACGGGCCCTAAGCTTGTGAGGCTGTTTTCATGCGTCTCTGAAACATGCTCTTCATCCTCGTCTTCCTCATTGTCAGCACCTCCTTCAATGAACTGCAACGTTTACATTTCAGTGAGAATGTAATAATGCAGGTGAAACACATGAATTCCACCATATGCATAAACCACAACATCAACAACAAAAGCCATGGGAGTAAATTTTGGTGTCATACTGTGGAAAGGAACTAATAGGTAATCCAAGAGCTTAAAGGAAGACATAAAAGGAACACTTTTTTCACGAATGAAACCATTCTGAATTCAGCACATGCGGGAATTTTAAACACACATAGCTACAGGTGGAAAGATAAAAGCTCTACTAAACAAGATGATGAGCAAAAGAATCCAAGCATAACTTCATTGATATTTGAAAGAAACTAATTTTTTAATCCACATATTGATTGGTATGGATAGGAGATAAAGAACCAAGGATGTAAATGTTTTACTATGAAAAACACCTAATTCATACCTTCTTCATATTATCTTGATCCTTCCGTGTGAATCCACTAGCAGCAAGTTCCTTATCGAGACAACCAGAAGACTTAGAAATCGAGGAAAACGAAGGTCTCCCAGCTTCGTCAATGTCTGACTCTGCAGAATTCTTATCATCGGCATCATCCTGAAAAGAGAGGTTGTACCTACAGATGGAAAATTCTGTTAGAATCTCTAGCTACAGCACATATGAGTCGACTTCTAGGGTACGAGCCAAGCAGACTAAGGTGAAAAGTTCACAAATAGAATGTCTAATGAGTATATGATGCTTCAACCAGCTCAAACATTAATCAACGCTGTAGAGAGAGAGGCATTGATATGATCTCAATTTGGGGCTTCAAACGATTGGAATTGATCGATCATGAAGGCAAGCTAGGCACGTTTAAGAACTTTGATTTTTTCCTAAGTGTTTATGAATATTTCAGGTACCCACTTTGGACGAGCATAAGTCTCAATTGGTGTGATAGAAACTTGAGTTCTTTGGTTTGTGTTGGACAAGAGGAGCTGTTATTTCAATCGGTATGCTTTGGAGCTCAAGGAGAAGTCAAGAGGCTGGGTTTCCGAGGTGATCAAAATGCTAGCTCAACACTGGAGGAACTGCCAGATTTTTCTAAGTATGGAAGCAGAGTTGGGAAGGGATCTTTGAAGCTCGGGTTGAGGAAGATGGGAAAGCGTCGAGCCTCCACATTCACACCACATGAAAGCAGGTTTCTTCTAGTTTATCGACAAGGTATTAGCTGATCAAGGTGATGTCTACAAGGGCTCGAACGAAGGGGCTAAAGATCGCTTCGAGACTGAAAATTCTGCCTGGAAGAATAAGTAATCCGAATCCTAGTCGGATTAGTAGACAACTTAGCTTAGTTGGTTTCCAAGTTTTGTTTTGCTTCCTTTTCCAAGTAGAATTGTAATTGAACTTAGTTAAACGTTGTTAGTAATTGCTAGGTCTATTTAAGTGGAGTTGATTCATTATAATAGTTAGTTTTTTGGGATCAATTGAATACAAAGTAGAGCTTTGGTTCATCTCGCTAGTTGCGTGAGGAATTGAGTTGGATTGCTTGGACGAGTCTAAGAAATCGTGAGCTTGTATCGATCAGTTCACCACCCTGATCGTGGCCAAGCATCGACCTATAGGTTTCGAGCCTCTTTCCCTTGTGAAAGTTGCACGAAAACTCTCCATCCAAACTACAACACAACGTTGTTGTGAGAAGGTTCTTGTTCGAGACACAATCTCTGGTTTTAGACCTATTAGCTGCGCCGCTTTGATCCTAAGCCCTGCCTTGGGCTTTATCAGGCATGTTCTAAACTAATGATAGAAGGGGAAAAGAATCCAAGAAGATGTAGGAAAACAGTCACATCTCTACATGAAGGTCATCTTGAAATATTAAAGAGATGAGAGGGTTGGCTTCTGAATATGCTTGAATCAAAATTTAGAATGACCTCTTGGCAAAGAACTTATAGATGCATTCAACATCACGGTCGAAAAACCTGCAGAACATTTAAGAAACGAATCAAACATTTAACACTGAACAAAACTAAAAGATATCATAAAAAAGAAGAGAGAAAGCAATAGCTCACATTTGTGCATTTCGATGAGACACAGATACCATATGGGGAAAATCAATCATGGTCACCTTTTCATCATCATCAATCTACAAATGACACAGTAACATGTTTCAATGACAACAAGTTGAAAGTAAGACATGTAAGCTTACTCATGCCCGAGACCCGTATAACATACCATAATATTAAATTCATTGAAGTCACAATGAATGAGACCGTGTTCTGCCAGACGAACGATAAGACCGACAACTGTTTCAAAAACAACTTCTGGATTCTGCAATTCCCTCACTTGCACACTGCACAAACAACCAAAAGGATATAACATTATTCTTGATTCTAGAGTTGCAGCTAATGCATAAACAAGTGCAGTACTTACAGTGAATAGCCTTGAACAAGGGACATAATCACACAGTGTCTATTACAATCCACAGCTTTCGGAACAGGAAAACCATGATCTTCCAGAGCCTGTTCCAGCAATAAAAACTTGTCAGAAGCAATATAAAAAAAGAACAACCCAAGTCTGCACCATGACACCTCCTAACCTTCATAAAAGCAAACTCCTTGAGTGCTGCGAGTCGAGACAAATAGAGCCAGCTAAAACTACTTCGATGTCTCAGGTAATCACGCTTCGATTTCACAGCCCTGAAAGAAGTTCTGCCAAGTCTGTGCAGCTTCATAGCCAAAACTGTACCATCCTCTGTAGCCACTTCAAAGATATCTGTGTCATACGAAGGTCAAACAAAATTTCAATAAGATATTCTCATTGTGCGACTGAAATCAATCTAAAATGGAACAAAAGAAGCGTTTCTTTCCATCATAAAGTCACAGAAACAAACATTTCATAACTTACCAGACTCTTTTCCAACCCCAATTTGAAGGCCAACATATGCGATGACTCCTCGATTGACCAAGGTTCTAATTGCGAGAAAATCGTACCCAAGATAGGTAAGCCGGAACCCATCATCTACAGTCATATTAGCATAGTGATTACATTGCTGAACCATAAGGACTAAAGCTCACATTTTGAGGAGTCATGGTGCACCAATTTATGCTTGAGCAAGTTCTTCAATATTTTATAAGTGTCCCCATGCCTACATTATCATCATTTTACAACAAAAAAGGAATGCAACCCCTTAAATTAAATTCAGAAATTGAAAGGACGGCAAACAAGACTACTATGAAGAAAACTTACTTAAGAGAAGCTATCAGGGAAATCAATTCTGCAGGTACAATCTCATGCTACCACGTGAAATACAGAGGAAAAACTTAAATACCAATCAAATTACACGATGAATTGAACTAAACTAAACTAAATTAAACAGATACGCAGAAGAAGATGATACAATACATACGTTTCGCATGCCCATCTCGACGGTAGTAAGAACTCTGAAATCATCCTTCGAGAGGTATCTCAAGACTTCCACGTCTAATTTCATCTCTGCTAGTTGCTAGCTGCGTAAAAGCAACGAGCTGAGACGAGTGAAGAAGGAGCTTAAATCAAAATATCAATTATGGATGATTGGGAATTTGTGGAGGGAGAGACGGCGACGTCCTAGGGATGGCAATTTACCCACCCATGGGTAATTTTGCCCAAACCCAAGTAGACCCATTTATTATGGGTAGGGTTTGGGTGATATGTGTATGGGTTTGGGGTTTGTATATGGGTTTGGTTTAGATATGGATATTATCTAAATGGGTATGGGTTGGATATGGATATCCATTTACTTGAGGGTGTTTTAACTACACATGCAAAAATTGGACTTATTTGTAAAACTTGAAAATTTTAGGTACCAAAATGTAAGACCAAAAAAATTTAGGTACCAAAATGTAATTTTCCATTGATATTTTGAGGACTTATATGCAAAAAAAAAATTAATTTTAGGTACTAAATATGCATATCTATTAATTTTAGGTACCAAACTGTAATTTGTATTTGGGTATGGCTACAAACCCAAATCCATTTGTTATAAACCCAACCCAACCCAAAGTAAATGGGTATGGGTACAAATCCATCAAACTTTACCCATATCCATATATTTGGATTTCATACCCAACCCAATTGAGTTGGATAGTAAAATACCCATGGGTATGGGCAAAATTGCCATCCTACGACGTCCGACCGAAGAGGTGGAGGTCTGGAGGAGGCGGCTCTGTAGGTGGGCGAGATCGTCCGGATTTTGCTCGGCGTGGTTCGTATAGGGTTTTCACTTTTCACAATCGGGGACTGGAATGCTAATTTGGGGCATAACTTCCAAATCCAACTGTTTTGGCGCAACTTTTTTTTAATTTTTTTTAGTTAGGAATCGGGAGCGGTTACGGTGCTAATTGTACAAGAGTTAGCACCGTCCTAACCAAGAGTTAGTAGTGATTTAGCTTAGATGTTGTATTGATTTTATAATAATCCGTAGTGATTTCGTTGTTTTTAGTAGCGTTTTTTGCTAGTTATCACGGTGCTAACCCCTATAAGGGTTAGCACCTAATCCCATCCCTTAGGAATCACATTTGGACCCAATTTTCTTTTATCAGCTTAGCCAAAGCAGAAGCAATCTTGACAAGAATCTAAATATGTATACGTGTATACAGGAAGATGGATTATTATTATTATTATCATTAATTCATTATCAAACAGGCAGTATGCAACAAGAAGTAATCAAAGAAGAAAATGGAATACCTACCTGGAAGCAAGGTACGGGGAAAGAAGAAGGGGGTTGTGGAAGCTCCTCGACGGGATGTGGAGCTCCGAGCTAATAGAGGTTGGTCTGCGACGGAGGGGAGAGGCGGGGAGCGACGGCGATGCAGAGGGGAGACCGGGAGAGGCGTCGATGCCGCCGTTGCGGGGAGCCCAATCTTTATTGTTTTTCATATTTTGGTGCACTTATAACCACATATCAATAATGTCAATCCTCACAATTATGATTATAGTTTTAATTATTTATAATCACAAATTAATGCTCACAATTATTATTATTATAATTTTAATTATATGTAATCACAAATTAATAACTACACTACCATATGCGCCCGCCGCGCAGTGCGGCTTCCATTCTAGTGTTTTATTATTTTGAGAATAGTTAAATAGATTACATATAGAATGGCTGAAGGGTTATAAGATTTGTGAAATACATTTCCTTAACCCTAGAAGGGAAAAGCTCCAAATGAGCCCAAAACAGAAAATATATATGTCAAAGGCTAAAAGCTCATGCACCGTAGAGCCTGGTCGGGAAGAGATTCACTAGTAGATTATCCGGGGATCTCTTTCTATGTTAACTAGCGGGGCAGGCTTTCCTGTTGGAAAATTAAGATGGGTTGGTTAAATTATTGGACCGGTTAGGTTAATCTTAACTTAGCCAGCGTTCAATTAATTTTGAATTAGCCAACTTATCATTTAATTCTCCACGTGTGCCTTGGCAAAGTTTGAATGACAGTTAAAGAACGTCCATTTTGGCTGAAAGGACATGTACTTTGCCATGCATTTAAATGGACAAACCCATTCATTTGAAATTGAATGTGGTTCTGGGTGGCAGTTTATGTCATTGCAACGTTTCAAACTAATTGTAAATGTTGGCAGTTAATTTGCCATGAAATAAACGGATTGGTGCGTGGCTTCATGAAGCAATGCTTTGCTTCGGTCATGAAGAAATGAAGAAATGAGACCAATTCCATAAGTATAAATATGAGGCATATGGAGGATGGCAAAGACCATAACATCAAAGATTCCTCTTCTTCCTGCTAAAATTTCTAAGTATGCTTTAGTGTTCTTGAGCCTGGAACCTAAAGTGGTGATAATTTTATCCTCGGGAGAAAATTCCTGTAACCTTAGGCTTGTTGAGGGTGGAAATATTCTTTTCGGAAAGTGAACATTGTTCACGACTCTATCACAATCCTGGTCACCCGGTCTCGGGCTATCGTACGTATACCCTCGTCCTAAAAGCCCCGACATTTCCTATGGTAGTCCAATTGCGGCCTCTGATCGTTCGTCACGTCTCATCTTTGCACCATCGAGATAAATAGATTAAAGTCCTACTAACTTTTTCTTTCCAAGTGGCCCTCTTTAGTGCGCTATATGGTTACTCGATACGTAATTCGGCTGCTATCATTATGATAAAAATACGATTTTGTCAACATCCACTTAGGTCAAGCCAAATTACAATGAGATTGAGTCCATCTCGAGCCAAATCTAAGGCTTAACTTGCCCAATTACAATCATACCTTAGTTTCTGGTTGAATGTTCTACTCTTATTTTCAATCTACGAGAATGTGACGCAGTTATTTTAAGTCAACTACTTGCTTCTTCCTCAAACCACTCACAATCTAAGATATTAACCATTATCAATAAGTATCTCGAGTAATCAAACTCCACCCATTGAATTAATCCTTGATATGATTTGGCAAACAATTGAGATACACACCATGCATTCAGAAGAGGATAACATTATTGGTGACAAGAATGAGCACAACAATTCTTGTTTCTCTGTGAGGTTGCACATGCGGCATGTGATTGGGGAAATCATATGCTGACACAATACGTATCAACTGGTTGGTTGCTCAATCAACGGAGAAATGATAAGATAATCAGTACGGATCTTGAGATTTATAGAGTACACTCATGTACCCTCAACACCCTTCACCACATACCACCAAAACTAGCTAGGTTAGTTTTCGGGAGTAATATAAACTTATCATTTGTTTAGGTAAACATATCACTAGCTGGTATTGATTAATAGGTCTATATTTTGGGCTTGAGTTAGGAAAATATTTCAAAAGAAAGTTCCACTACCAAATAAAGTGGTTTTGCTGTGAAGGAAGGGTCCCTCCGTCATAAAACCAGCAATGGCTTCTTGCCCTTCACTAGCTGGGACAGTACTAGTCTCTCCCACGAGATAAGGTTAAATAGCCATCAAGCCCAAAGACAAAAACGTAAATGAGGAAGTAAGACAAAACACTATTAAATACATAAAGGTCAAAGAGAACAATTACTCAGAAGTAGAGAGATAAATTTTGCGCCAAATAAGCATGGTCCATCAAATCGTATCGTATTGGTGGTTCAACCACAAAATACCAGTATCAGAGGCTAAACCTATATGCGATATTTAACGGTACTACCGGTTGAACTACGGTTAAACCACAGTTTTGCCATAAAATACCCTACCATTGATTTTTCCGATACGATCTCTGGTACAGTTTCATGGATCATACAAAAAAGTCATCATGGGAAGAGAAAAAGACAACCGCCATGAACGTACGTACCATTTGTCTTGCCAAACCCCACCGACGTGAGCTCTTGTTTATTATTGTTACCTCCCAAAACACTCCAATGACATTGACATGAAGAAGAATACGTTAAAAGTGGTGGCCTAACTCCATTACTGAGCTAATTATATATGTTGACCAATATTGGATGAAGCAATCAAATTAAAGTTAGGCTCTCATTTCATGGGAGCCAAATAGGCAAATACTTTGTCGAGGGTAGTTAATTTAAGTTAACACGTATTACACGCATTCAACAACAAAGATGTGGTACTTAATGTGAGATCAGATTACCAATGATTCTACGTTATGTGCATGCAATTGTGACTTTGGTTATATCAACTTTAGCATCTCAGAAACTTCACAACCATCATTTGATGTGTTTCACTAAATTATCGTAATATTTCGAGAGAAGTTTATACAACGTGATTTTAGAAGACAAATCCGATGACTTGTAAAGTGATTTAAGTAAATTTTGAGTTAATGGTGAGGGTATCTTTGGCATGGCCCTTTGATTCTTTGAAATATAACATGCTATCTAGTTGAAACTTTGTGTATTATAATTAAGGGATTAATGATACTAAGTTGTAAATGATGATACTTTACGTATTGGTTTATGATATGCAGAACTTTAAAATCAATTATTATAGCAATACTACTACATACTTCTGCTCGAATAAGGGAACCCCCTAAACCATCCATGAATCTATAAGTTTACTATTGGCACACATGATCTTATGATCACTCGTCATGTGCATGTACGTTTTCCTTTGTTTGTTCATGGTTTTTATTGAGCTAGAGAATGCAACAATGAAACGTTTCTTTGCTTCTCTCTTTCCCCCTCGATGCTCATGATCAAGGGCACAAGTCACAACCCTTTCCTACATTGATATGATAGTGCTTGCATATATTTCATCATATGGAACGATGAAAGAAGCTAAGTACGGAAGTACAATTGTGAAACATTTGAGGGTAGGTGAGATTGGCGTAATTAGTTCTGGTTCTGGAAGACAAAAGAGAGGTGACGTGGCACCGCAAGTGGGCTGGCTAAGCCTGACTGCGGCTCAACTCTCGAGAGTCGAGCCCAAAGAAAAGAAAGTCACAAAAGTATGTCGGTGTGGAGTTTGCAAATGTCAAACTTTAAATAGAGAACATCATTCACTAACCAAAACCAAGTCAACCCACATTGTCATTGCATGAGAGATACGGTTTTTGTTTTGTTTTCTCCATTCTATTACCGTTTGATTCTTGGTTCTGAGGTGTTTGAATTAAGGGAGGTAAGATGAAAATGTGGCCAATTCTTTAGCCAACTAGATAGAGGTGGCAATTTCAATCCAATCCACCAATCCAATCCATCAATCCATTAAAAATATCCACCTAATCCAATCCATTTAAATCCAATCCATTTGATCCAAATCCAATTGGATTGGTGGATTCATGGATTGGATCCATGGATCATTGGTAAATTACGGTTTAGTACCTATAATTTTTATTTGTTACATTTTGGTACCTAAAATTTAATTTTTATACGAAAAATATCATTGGAAAATTACGTTTTGGTACCTAAAATTTTTCATTGTAACATTTTAGTACCTAAACTTTTTACATTTTACATATTGGTCCTTGGTTGAGGATGTCATTTGGATTCATGGATAATCCACCAATCCACTTGATCCAATCCATGAATCCACCAATCCATTAGATCCAATCCATTTGATCCATGGATCCATCAATCCAATCCACCAATCCAATCCATTTGCCACCTCTACAACTAGAGATAATGTGTCACTTTTTGTTGTTGCGTGGATGGTGATTAGTTTGACGATAAATTTACGATAGAAAATCATACAAGAAATTAATTTTTGTTTTCTTTTACAAAATAGGGTTATTGATGAGATTCATTCAACTTCTGTGATGGTATTAAGATTAAAAGGTTAACATTCTTTTTTTTTCCTCCCGAAATACACAACGAGAATGTAAACCATTGTCGTTGTTGGCCCTTTGCTCTCCTTTCTCTCATAGCCTTTCTTCTCCTACATGATCTGAGAAATAAATACAAACTAGAAAATTCATTCTCCATGTTCTCTCAACAATTCGAATTATTGGAGCTAATTGATTCTGAAGAAGAATGTTATGAAACTGAATGGAAATTACCCTTTAAAAATGGTTGGGATCGAAATTCTATAGCTGAGGGGTGAGATTGTTCAGATTCATGATCACTCGTCAGTGTATTTTGCATTTCACCACTTGTCTAAGAATACAATTTCATCTTTGATCATTTATATAATAGTGCATAAGGTTTCACATTTCGTTATTGAACCAAACCTATTTATAATTCTCTCTGAGAGTTATGTGTGTTAAACCGATGATCATCCGTTGAGTATGTGCTAAAGCAAATTCAGATTAAGTATCGATTTGTGGTGGTCTAATGGTAATGGGACTTATTTGGTCTTTTGGCCAACGAGGTTAAAGCATTTAGCGTTGGCATAGTTACCTTGCTTGGCATGAAAAAGGTCGGTCGTTTGTGCACCAAGAACCTTCGAATATTTTATTGTTATTATCCAGGAACTTCAATCACACGCGTGTCACTTTGTGATAGTGGGTCCTACTAAAATTGGGGGACATCTGCATTCAATTCGACGCCAACGAACCTTCGCCCCCAGTAGCCTTATACCTCCGGAAACATCAACAGATCTTGCTTAGATTCAAACCTGGGATATGCAACTCCAAACCTTCACTCTCGCGACAGCTTGCCGTTAGAGCTTTGAATCTTTAACCACATGGTTAGCTAAAGCCTAGTCTTATGAATATTTAATATCTTTTTACCATATTCCTTAAATAATTTGTTTGTTGGTTATAGAAAGAATCTTATTAATAGGACTATCCAAATAATTGATGTAGAGTAGATACTTCAACTAAAATTATAATTATAATTGCATGTTGAGTCAATCGAGAATAAGCTAATTAAATTACTCCATTTGTTGAATGAGTTAAAAACTTACTCTTATACCAATATTCGAATTGAGTTTTGTATTGAACTTGACGTTCATACCAAAGTTTACTATATTTTGTACAATTAAGCTTACAACATGGGTAAGCACCATATACCTTTCAATCAAATTATAGATTCAATGTACATTTAAATTCATCAATTGTTGAAATTGAAAATATAACTCAATGAACTAAACAATTTACTGCCTCAGAGGATGTAACAAGGACACCATCACATCTTCTTCCTCTTCTTCTTTACCAAATTCTTCAATTCACATAATTTTATCTTCATTTTTCTCATTGTCATTTGCTTTCATATTCAAGGACCTTATAGATGTAGAAGGGAGGGAGAAAGTTGAGATAATCGACTTTCTTTATTTTATCTAGTCACTACATAGCAATGTGCATAATCTTGTCTTCTGTTATTTGTGTCGTCTCCTTCCAAATATAGAAATGTTGAGAGAAACAACAAGGATCGTGAGAAAATAGAAATTGCAAATTACAATTTGAATTTGAAATTAACGTAATATTCTTTTCCTCTAGCATATTGAAACCTTAGATCATATGCATTATCTACATATTGAAATGACTAAACCTAATGGGATCTCACCTTAAATCAAACCGAAAGATATGTAGTCCATTTTAAAAAAATCGTTTACTGTAAGTATCTTAATAATAAAGCTTATTATTTACTTCCTTGTCTGAAAATTGGAAAACAGATTCCTATAGAAAAGGAAAGCAAATTAAAGAACAAAAAAGGAGACTTAATAAAAAGTTAAATTATTAAAAAACCCACAAACTGTTGTCTGACAAAGACTCAAATCCTGCCTAGCCGCGGCTTTATCTGCAGCAACCAGATCAAACAGAAAAAGAGGAAAGAAAGAACGAAACATCACAGCATTCTTCTTCTCCCTTCACCACCCACACCCCACCAAAGATAGAAGAACCAAAAGAGAGAAATAGCTAAGAAGAAGAAGAAGAAGAAGAAAGTTTTCAGTTCTGTTCTGACACAGACATACAATTTTCTCTAGAATTCCTCACCTGGGTGTTGTTGTTCATCTCTCTTCAATCAATCCAACCTCATCAAGGTTCTCCACCCACCATACCTTTTTCTTTCCTAATCTTCCCCAACTCTGCTTGCTGGTAGTTCTAATCCTGTTTCATCAAATTCCCCAAAGTCGTTTCCTTTTTCCCAATTCTTCTTACTTCTGGTTTTCTTGGTGTCAGTCACACTACCATGCGAAGCTCTACTTCTTGTATAAGGCCCCAAATGTCTGAAGTCTAGACCTTTTTCTGGATCTGGGAAGTCTGAATTGTTTGGAGTGAAGTGTGGGGCAAAATCTGAGGTTTTGGGGAGTTGGGTTTAGCTCAGAGGACCGGTAGATGTGAAGTCTTCTCCGTGAGTTTTGATAGATGGTGGTGGTTTCCATTGACTTGGTAGTTTAGAGTGGAGGAGGTTTGCTAAAGCTATGGGATCTACCAACATCATGAATTATGAAGGAGACTTCAATTTGGAAGATAGGTTGTTGATTGATCCTAAGCTGCTCTTCGTTGGACCAAAGATTGGTGAAGGTGCTCATGCCAAAGTTTATGAGGGAAAGTAAGTCAACCTTCTCCTTCTTCCTTGCAGCCTTCCAGACAATGATTTGATTCTGAAACTTCTTTGCTATTTCTGGATAGACCCACAGTTTCTTAGTTTAGAATTTTGTTTGGACAAATCTATGCTAATCTAGAGGAGCACTTGGTCGAATTGTTGGTCTTTCTGTTGTTTGGTGGTCAAAGCTCATTTGCTGTCCTGTTTGTTGCATCAAATGTTTTGGTAGGTATAAGAATCAAACTGTCGCAATTAAAGTAGTTCATAGAGGGGAAACACCAGAGGAGATTGCCAAGAGAGAATCACGGTTTGCAAGAGAGATTGCAATGTTGTCCAGAGTGCAGCACAAGAACCTGGTCAAGGTTTGTGTTGCTTTTGTCCCTCTGCAATATTTTGTTTCTGTCATGTCTCCTCATTTGGTTTTATGTTCTGAGTGGGCCATTTGCCATTTTTTGGGTGAATCAGTTCCTTGGTGCTTGCAAAGAACCAGTCATGGTGATAGTAACTGAGCTTCTGCTAGGTGGGACGCTACGAAAGTACTTGCTGAACATGCGGCCAAGGTGCTTGGAGAAGCATGTTGCAATTGGTTTCGCTCTCGATATTGCTCGTGCGATGGAGTGCTTACACTCCCATGGGATCATCCACCGTGATCTTAAACCCGGTATGTTAAAATCACTTGCTGGTTGTGGTGGTTTTCTCCTGTCCTTGAATCTCTGTAGTTTGTCAACTATCAGCTGTTCTGCTTGTGCGCAAATGGTCCTCGAGTGAAATAACTTAAATATGCCTCTCTCAGCTGGTTTTTATAGCTCTGCCTGGCCCTTTTAGCTCTTCTCTACTGAATAATTTTGTGAGTTACTATTGGAAATGGCCTCAGCGTACAAGATATGGGCTAGGTATTTCTGGTTTAGTCTACTAGTTCTGCCCAAGAAGGAATTCCCTGGCTTTGAATTTGAAGTCTTAGTACGTTGCTGCTTTTTCATACTTGTTAGTTCTGATCCCACAATTCTTTCTGTAGACAACTTGCTGTTGACAGCAGACCACAGAACAGTAAAACTTGCAGATTTTGGTTTAGCAAGAGAAGAGTCATTAACCGAGATGATGACTGCCGAAACAGGAACATATAGATGGATGGCCCCTGAGGTAGAACTAATAGTCTAATACCAATCTTGTCAGTGATGTAAGTCTTGTTTTAAGCAACACACCAAGAATTTAATTTCCATGATCTCCCTGGCAGCTTTACAGCACGGTAACATTAAGGCATGGTGAGAAAAAGCACTATAATCACAAGGTGGATGCTTATAGTTTTGCAATCGTATTGTGGGAGCTTGTCCATAACAAGTTACCTTTCGAAGGCATGTCCAATCTACAGGCAGCTTATGCTGCTGCTTTCAAGGTGAGCTTACTAGTTTCAACCCGAATCCTCTCACTACCGAAAATTGCTATATGGTTAGTCGAAATCTACTGGAATTTGCTTGACTTTGTACCGCATTTCAGAACGTTAGACCCAGTGCCGACGACCTCCCCGAGGAGCTGGCCTTAATAGTCACCTCATGTTGGCAAGAGGATGCAAATGCCAGGCCAAACTTCTCCGAAATCATACAGATGCTCCACCGATACCTCACCACCGTATCGCCAGCAGCACCTGTGATCCCAGCTCGGATGTATTCATCCGAGAACAAAGTCCTGGCCCCCGATTCACCGGGCGAGAGCTCTCTAATGGCTGCAAGAGATGACCCAGGTGACACCCCCAAAACCCAGAATGGAGAAGAAGATGACAAGCCTAGTAGAGGCTTCTTCTTCTGCTGTTAATGATATCGTGAAATGAAATCGCTCCAAAAAAGGCGCAACATTTGAAGTCATTTTGGAGTACAAAAAAAAAAAGGTTTACATCTTTGATGACAGGATTATAAACCCCAAAAACAAACTTAGTTGTAGCAGCAGCAATGGAGAAAGGGAGCTCTGGAATGGTAGTCATGGTGGAGATCCCACTTTTTCCTTAAAAGTGAATATTAGCAGTTCTTTTTTGTCTGTTCTTCTGACTCAGAAATATTTTATATCATAACATCCTCTCATGTCTGTAAAAGTGATGAAAGGAAGCATAGTTTTGGGATCAGGGAGGTGGAGGGGTTGCACTTTACTGGTGCCTGGTAGTGATGGTGGTAGTGGGGAGAGTGATGTATGATTATTATTAACTCAATTAATCAAATGTCTGTATAATAAGAAAAGGTTCCTCTAAGAAGGAACTTTTCCTTCCTCTTCTTCCCATTATTGTTCATGTTGTTCATAGTTTGGTCTTCTGTTGGTGCTGTTGAATGTTGATAATGAAGAATGGAAAAGAAAGTAACAATCTTATCTCCTGGGAAAGGAGTATCTGGCCTTATTTTGATTAATTTCTCAATTCTTTGCTTTGGAATCATGGAATTGAAAGGCCTGAAGTCTCTCCATGAATGGTATCTATCAATGGAATGGAAGGAGGTTGGAGCCAAGTTTGAATCTTTGAATCTTCTGTTATGTGCATCAAGTTGACTTTTCCAATGGCTTTCATGTTGAGTTGTTTGGACTTTGGATGAACTAGTGGGCTTTTCCATGGTGGAGAATGGAGATACTCGGCCGATAGTTAAGTGGGCTGATCTCAGCGACTGCTCTGTTTTCAACATAAGATAGGCCCATTTGGCTTGAGCCCATATCGAAGAAAGACAAACGAAAAAAAAATTCGCCGTTGCCGGGGATCGAACCCGGGTCACCCGCGTGACAGGCGGGAATACTTACCACTATACTACAACGACCTTGTTGGTAAGATTTCCCAGATATAATTTTAATTAGTTTATAGATCCAGATGACCGCTATCTTGCATTTTGGTATTCAGGTCGGTCTATGTATGTATGTATGTATGTATACTAAGAAGTGTATGTAAAACATAGTGATAGAGAGAGTTTGGGGAGAGGACAATAGTCCCTTCCTTTGTAGGCTTTAGGGATTAAATAATGTTATAAACGCGCTGCTACATATCGGGAAATCGCCGGAATCGAGAAAGTAAGAACACGAAAGCGAGAATCGAAAATACGACACACGATTTATGTGGTTCACTAACACGATGTGTGTTAGCTAGTCCACGGGCGAGAGAGACCCCCGACTATTCCAGTTGTAGCGGCTGATAGTCCGATTCAAGTCACATCAACAAAATACTCGTATGGATAACATATTGACATTTTAGGGTGATTGTGGACGAGGGCTTGGTCCAGCAATGGTATCATTGATCTTGAATTTAAAGGTTTTATATTCGAATTTCTTAATTAGCATCTAATTAAAAACAAAACTTATATCATCCTTAAAAGCCTGCTATGGTGAAATTAAACGTACAGTAGTCTTTGTGCCTCACTTCATCTTCTCTTTGATTTCTCATGATTTTAGCACAAAGATTCAGTCAAAGATCTCTCTTCTACTATATATCCCTGATTTTATAACAAGAAGAGGTATTTTGATTTTCTTTTCATCATGGCGGCCTTTTAACATAGATGTTTTGTTCTTATTACACACTGAAGCTTGACTCATTTGACTCATATCATATGCATTATAGTGCAGCTTGAACGTGAAATATAATAAATTCATCGACGTGATCAGCAAATTAATTTGCACAACCCCACGGTCGTAGCCCAACAGCAAAATCCTCGATGGCCCTCTGCTCTGCATGGCCACATGGAAGATGGTGCATGTCGATTCTCCTACATACTCTAGCATTTTGCTTATAAATCTTGTTGGTGATTTGGGTGTCTCGATGTGCCCTCAATCTTCAACCCTCCAGCCTTAGTGTTCATCCTCATGAGCGACTTGGATTCTTTTGCGTACTCACACCTGTACTCATTATGACTTGTATCATACTTGTAGATATCTCTACATACACTCGACGGTTTATTAGTATATATATGTATATCCTAAAACAAATACATAAAAATGAGTTTCATGGGTATTAACATAACAAAACTAACTTACTCTACATACAAACAAAGAAGCAGTAGAGTACCTATAAAATTATCCTATTTGGTGCGAATAACAACAAAACGATAGGTGATCGATGGGAAGAGGAAGGTATTCTGTCTAGTGTGATTTACCTAAGGAGATTGGATCAATGAGAGCCTCGAAACAACCCAACTCATTACTAGCACTAGTATGAGTGGTACGAGATGCAACTCAGACAACTCAACCTCGAAAACTTTTCTTTGACACTAGTCTACATACACATTTGTTTCCTGTGGACCACAATCAAAACTAGGATCACTAATATTCGATGGGTAAGAGACATGTTGGCCACCCAAAAATATGAGCGAAATTGTCATATCTATAATCGCCTGAGTCGTAACCGAAATGAAATTTTAAGTTTTTAACACCTAAAAATACATTTTGCAAGATGTGACAACATTGAGACATTGGGGTAATTTGGCATAGTGATAGAGAAAGGGTTTGTATTTTTTGTGATTGAGACATTGGGCCCTCTATAGGGAGGCCCACCCAAAAAGGACCGCGTCACAGAACAGTAGTAGTCCACCAAGATCCAACAGACCATAATCAACGGCCAGTCTTTCTGTTTCCCTCACAAACGGTAAAAACTAAATAAACTAGCAAGGAAAGGAACCCAACAAACAAAAGAAATATTCGAAGAAAGTTCCCATCTATAGCTTGGGAAACAAGTCAGAGTTCCATTTATTTACGATTATGACACTGACGTAGCTCGAACCCCGAGGCCTTTTGTCCAGCTCAGCCGCGCCAGCGCCAGCCAAATGTGCTCGCTGGACATTCTTCGGACAGGTCCAAGCCTACCCAGCTCTCGCTTCGGCTGCAACCTCCGTCAACGCACCGGCCCCACCTCACCTGGTTCGTAGCTCTACAGCGAAGGAATACTCCAGCTCCGGAGCGCCGAGCCACGCTCCGAGCCGGTGATTTTTCCCGCCGGTTCCGACAGATGGAGGCTTTCTTAGTCTAGTGGAGAAAGGGGGAGCAAGTTTTTTTTTTTTTTTTTTTAAATTTTAATTTTGCGCATATATATAGAACAGCTTCGATGACACTCTACTCCAACCCGCTCGTTTTCTGCCAAATCTCAAGTCAAGCTTCTTCTTGCTCTGTTTTTTCTCTGTGTCTGTTTTGGGGGAAAAGGGAAAATGGCGAGGTGAGCTAAGCGCTGAGCTTCGATTTAACAACTTGTGGGAGGATGGAATTTTGATGTTTTGGTGATTTAGAAATGAACTCTCGGGTGGAAAAGACTCTTCTTTTCGATTCGATCATGAGGAAATCAGATGGAGGTCGTCATTGAATGTATTTCCTGAGAAATGATCGGTTCTCCTTCTGGGGTTCTAGGTTCTAATTTCATCCTGGACAGTTTCTGGGGTTTGGGTTCTGCAAAATTTTCTTCGTCTGGGTAGTTTCGGTGTAGGTTTCTGGGCGTGATTGAGCAACTGGGTTTTGTTCGTGGGAAAGGAATTTGGCGTCAAAGGGATAAATGAAAGGGGAATGCTCTCTGGGCTAGAAGTATTCTCTACCTTTTTCAATCAGGATGGTATCCATGGCTGTTTAATGGTAGAGAGAATGGATGAAGGGATTCCGGTAGGCTAAAACCCTGGGGTTTAAGCCAAGGTGTTCATTTCTGAAGTGTTGGAATATGAGAAATTGGGGAGCTTGGATTGTTGAAAGGGGGGATGCTCACATTACTACTACACTCGGCCTAGTGAGAAATGGGTAGCTTGATGGTTTAGATGTTGAAGAGCTTCGAGTTGAATAGGATAGAATCATAGTTACTGATCCCCATATACTTTGTCCAAAAATGGCCCTCTTGAGCTTGAAAACAAGTCCCTTTCTAATACATTCCCCAGAAGCTTCAGCCTTTTTTGTGCTTTTGTGTGAACTAGAAGCCAACTCATATTAACACACAACCAAATGGAGAATGGATGGTTGAATGTGGTAGTTGCAGAGTTGAATGTCTTAGATTTCAGGAGCTTTCATGTTGAATGTGATAGTAGCATAGTCCAAAAACGGCCCTTGAGAGCTTCAAAACAAAGTCCCTTTCCAATATTTCCCCATAAAGCTTCAGCCTGTTCTATGCTTTTGTCTGAACTAAAACTAACGTCTCCATCATTTTCTTGTTTCCTTATTTGGGTTGCTGCTGTTCTCTATCACCTAAAAGACTCAAGCAGAGTTCCAGCATTGTGTTGAAAAGTTCTACATTGGTTTTTTTGGCAGGCCTTGGGTTTTGGATGGTAAATCAATAGCAAGGAAAGTGACCCAATCACCCACCGAATCGATCAAAGATGCAGGAGCTTCTCTCGAGTGTCCTAAGTGTCAGCATAGAATTGACAACAGTGATGTGAGGGGCTATGACCTTTGGAACCATACCATTACTTTTGATCATTGTTGAAACATTGACGAGAATGTAAATTGATATTTAACTTTCCATTCTGCAGGTAATCAATGAATGGCCTGGCTTTCCAGCTGGGGTGAAGTTTGCCCCAACTGATGCAGAGCTGCTGGAGCATTTAGCAGAGAAATGCAGCATTGGGAGCTCGAAACCGCACATGTTCATTGATGAGTTCATCCCAACACTTGAAGGGGATAATGGGATTTGTTACTCCCATCCTGAAAACCTTCCTGGTAAAGAGAGAAAGCTCATTTGCCCTGCTTCTCCACCTCTTTACCGTTTGGAATTTCTCAACAGATGTCTATGTGTTTGCCAATTGGCCAATATGTAGGTGCTAAGAAAGATGGAAGCTGCGTTCATTTCTTTCATCGCACCATGAATGCTTATGCAACTGGTCACAGGAAGCGCAGAAAGATCCAGAGAGGTGAAGACACTTCCATTGGCGAAAGTGTGCGCTGGCACAAGACGGGCAGGACCAAGGTCGTGGTCGAAAATGGTGCTAAAAAGGGCTGCAAGAAGATCATGGTCCTGTACAGAAGCTCAAAGGGAAGAGGTTCTAAGCCTGATAAGGCCGGTTGGACCATGCACCAGTTCCATTTGGGCACTGAAGAGGACGAAACTGCTGGTGAATATGTTGTTTCCAGGATCTTCTATCAGGAATCCAAGATGAATGGGAAGAATAATGATGAGACTTCGGAGATTCAAGGTTCTGATACTGTTGTTGCTGGTGTAATGCATCCAAGGACCCCGAATCCTAATCCTCCCAATCCACAGCGACATAACGATCTTGCTGATGACACCATCACTTCAGATTCCTCTGTCCAGGTTTGGCTACACTTCTTGTATTTATTTTGCTGAATTTGAAGTAAACATTTGGGTTGGAAAAACTGAAATTTATGTTTTGATTGTTTTTATTTTGTGGAGTTTAGGATCAGAAGTTGATGATAGGGGAGGATGTGGGATATGAAGCATGGCTGGGTGGTGAATCCCAGCCTGTTGATGAAACCCCTGACTTCACCAACATCGGAGATTCTTCTTTGGTATGCAAAGAGACTTCCAATCCTTCTACTTCGATCTTCGGCAATAACTCAACAGCAATGAATCATATACCATGCACTGGTGGAGGTAGTGGAAATAACAACCCTCCTTTTGCTTCATCGATCTTCGGCAATAACTCAACAGCAATAAATCATATACCATGCCCTGGTGAAGGTAGTGGAAATAACAACTCTCCCTCATCTTTGTCGATCTTGGGCAATAACTCAACAGCAATAAATCATATACCATGCACTGGTGAAGGTAGTGGAAATAACAACGCTCCTTCCTATGGAATCTCAGTCCTGGAAAACCTGGAAATGGACACTCCGCCAGATTTCCAGCTTTCTGTAAGCCTAATAACACAACCCTTTAGCAAACACATGCATATAACAAGTTACTGCAGAACGCATTATTATTTCTCTTCATATTTAACAATGTGATCTTACTTATGCAGGATCTTCAATTTGGTTCCCAAGACAGCAATTGTAGCTGGCTGGACAAGTTTTGAATAAACACACGGAATAACAATGGAGCAGAAGAAGCTCTGCTAGACTAAACCATGAACATGTCATCACTCCACTTGTTTTGTTGCTGCTGCAGGAAGCCATATTAGTTGTCTTTAGTCTAGCAGCATTGTTGTTGTTCATTCTCAATCGGCTTAGAATCGAAAGTAACGTATGTTTTTCGTGCAGTTCGTGTGTATCATAATTAAGAGGCTGCAGAGTGATTCCACTATTGCTCCAATGGTGGGAAAGACGAAAAATGGCAACATAATTTCGTGTATAATAGTTGTGATGGCAGAGTGGCTGTAGCCTCTTGATTATCTGTTACCGTGTAATGTACTTAAATTGACTGCAATATAAACAGAGGATATGTTATGTTCCTTGTTAACTAAGTAAGCTACAGTAGTATTAATTTCTTGCTGCTGTCTTTATGGCTGCTGGTTTTTCTTCTGTGCAAATCCAGGAATTGGTTCAAGAAAGTTGTTCATTAGCATTGTGAAGTGGGAATGCATGCAAGAGTACAGCTTATTTACTCCCTGACTTCGTATTGAAGCTACCATAACTGTTGATTTTGAAATGCACCATCGTTTAAGTACCTAATTTATTTGCAGAAGGCCTTTCCCTTTTATTTGCAGCTGAATAAAAACATTACCATCGCTCGAATTTGTTTGAGCGAATAACTTGACCTTTTATAATACCTTACCGCCACCGTTCACCACCCACACACTCTCACTTCTCTTGTTAACTCCATCCACAGCTCTCCCAGAACAGAGAAGAACCAATCAAAGAAAGCGTCCATGGCTGCCACTGCTGATGCAGTCTTTCTCTACCGCCATTAGCAGGTACTGCCTTCAAACTCATTTTACTAATAAATCATGGGTTCCTGTTTCTTTTCCCCAACAGTATTGTGTTTGTGTTCTTTCCCCAAACTTACATCTGATCGCCCCTGTTTTTCCATCCCTGGATATGGCGGAAATGCAGGGGTGGGTGATGAGATACTGGTAATATGTCGCGCCTGGAGGAAATGGGGGAATGTCAGGTGAGCCGTCCAATACAGAGCTCTTAGAGCATCTGGTGGCCAAATGTGGAGTGGAGAACTCAGGCCCACCTGACCCCAATATCCAATGCTTCATTCTGACAATTGAAGATCATATTGAGCTACTTTCTACTCACATCCCATGAATCTTCTTAGCAACTCTCAATTTTCTGTCTTTTGATATGGCATCAAGGTTTACACAACGGCAATGGTGTTTATTTAATCTTTGAACGCTTCGATGAAACTGGATTGTACTCTCTTTGATCACTCTGTCTCTCAACAAAATCAGTTCGCTACCACTGTTAGAACAGATGGAACGGAGTCACATGACCAAGAAGAGCTTATATCCCAGCAACACTATCATAGCGCCCTTTCAAAACCAAATCACGCAAAACCGATGCACAAAAATCATCAATTTCAACAAGAAATCGGAAGTGTGTAGTATCGGTAGCAGCCATGAAACCTTTGGTTCTTTTCAGTTCGGCCTTCTGGGATACACTTGAATGTGGCGAGCAAAAGAAGAGTGTTGGACAGTTGGTGGAGGAGGTAAGCATCTAGTAAAAGTAACGTAGTATATATCTGTTGAACATGGATTATGTGACTGGTGTAATTCACTAATAGCATATACCACACAATTCACTTAACCAAGCCAAAGCAAAATAGTGCAAAATGAACAGAGGCTAGGCTATCAGTGCAAGAGTATACCAAAATACCAGTAGATGCAAACCACAATAGATCAACATTACTGCCAAAGATCCAAGCCAATTTGTAAACCTTAATAACACAAACTCGTCCAAAAACGCCTTGCACAGGCAGCATTGTTCAAAAACTAACAAACAGGGTGTCCTCCGAGAACAGAAATTCAAAATGCAGCTACTCATTCCTCCTCGACGATAGTTCCTTTCTCGCTAACATAGATACCATCAAGAAACTTCCTGATATCCTTGTTCTTCACATGGCATTTCTGAATCAGGAAATTAACATGAACAAAAACATATCAGATTCAGAAATCAAGCTAGAGGTGCATGACATGATGAAGGAGATTCTCAAGCAAATGCTGATGTGGGGAAAGCTTGCAGGTGAGGTTACCTGATTAATCAGAGCAGCAGATCGTGAAACCAGCTCCACATCATTGCCATCCAAAACCAACTCATCCTTGGTCTTTTCTGATCTGATGACAGTCACACCATCAAGCATATCAACCTTCCTCACCTGGAAGAATAAAAAAGGGTATCAGATCATACTCTAATAGAGAATCTGCAAGCACTTAAATATTCCCCCATACCAAAACTCACAGGATACTCATCTAAATTATGAAAACAAATGCAATCAAACACAAGCCATAGATCAATCCAACAGTTCATAGATTTTCCAAGGAGCCACTAGAAGCACAACTAGGCTCACGGCCATAAACTAGGTTTGACTGGCTACATATAAACTAAAAACTTCACTATACACCAGGATGATCACCTAAATTAAGAAAACAAATTATATAAAAACCAAACAGTTTCAAGGGATTTCAAATGAGCGACTAGAAGCACAACTCAGAGTGTGACAACAGACAAGGCCCGACTGACTACATGTAAATATATAACATTGCAAAAACTCCGAGGATGCCCATCTAAATGACGAAACGAAACATGGATCAATCCAACAGCTCAAGGGCTTTCCAATGAGCAACTAGGAACAAAACTACCGCATGACCATAAACTAGGCTTTAATGACTACACATCTAATATAATAACATTCACGACAAACAGAAGACACATAGTAAACGACCGACCACAATAATTCATCATTCCCACGGATCTGCGAACCGTATAGACGGAGAAACAAATAAAAAACAAGAAAAGATATAAGCGCATACCCTCTTCTCCCCAAGGAAGTTACGGATTTCAATGGCTTTGTTGGCGTTGGTGATGGATGCGTTGATGGGGAAATGAGCATACACGAACCGCATCTTGTAGCGGTATCCCTTGGTGACGCCGGTGATCAGATTCTCCACGTGACTGAGAGCGGTACGGATGGAGGCGCTGGTCTTCCTGGTTCCGAACCAAGAATCAACCTTCAGCTTTCGATTCCCGGTCTCTTCGTCCTTGATCAACTGGAAATCCAGATTCAAATGCTTGAAGTCTCGGACGAGCTTGCCCCTCGGTCCTTGCACCTCAATCACCTTGGCGTGGACCTTGATCTTCACGCCGTCAGGGATGTCCATCGTTTCCGACGAGAGGATGGCCTTCATTTTGACAGCTGCGGCGGAGTACGACCGAAAATATGGAACTCTCCACGCTTTGAGAGAGTGCTGCGGCGGAGTACGATCGAAAATATGGAACTCTCCACTAAACCCTAGCTCCCAACTTATTTATATACGAGAACGAGAGGAAAAAACCTAATAATCCAGCCGATGTTTATATGGGCCATGTTTGCAGGTCGGCCCATTATCAAAGCCTGGAGGTGCTAGGTTGGTTTCTCCGTTTTGACTGGCCGTTTCACGTTTCAACGCTCCGTTTCTCTCTTCTGGCTTTCGTTTCGCGTTTACACCTCAATGAGCTCCGACCCAGACGGACGATTGACTTCCCCTTTCCTGCATAGCAGAGCAAAGAGCAAACCCAGAAACCTAAAACCCTGTGGCTGGGCACCAGAAGGAGCTTAAACCCCGACAACCAAAACTCGAATATGAAGTGATCCAAAATCGAGCTGTTGAAAAAGCTTCCTTTCTCTATCATCAGTTTCATGGTCAAGGCCGAAAAATGTTGGCTTCAAGGATTCTTCGAAGCCATTGCTTCAGAACCCTCTCCGCTCTCCACCTCTTCTCCAATAATCCCTCCAGGTTTGCTCGAAAGTTTGTTTCTTTTATCCATTTCGTCATGGGTTGTCGGCCTGATCGTAGGATTTGATGCATTGGGTTTCCTTGGATTATACAGAACCATAGTACTGGCGTTGAATGATGTTAGTTCTTCGAGTATTAGTTCTACTCCAGATAGTCTTCGGCCTCCTCCGCCGTTGAATTGCTCTGCTTTCGGCAGCGGATGGTGCCGCGGGATGTCGACTTCCAAAGGGAGGAGCATGAGAAGCAAAGTGGAGAGTAGGATGAGGAAAGAGTCCGGTAAAACGATGAGGGAGATTAGGAGAGCTAAGAAATTGAAGAAGAAGCTTATGACTGATGAAGAGAGGCTTATTTACAATCTCAAAAGAGTGAGTATGTTCCCCCTTCTTGGGTTGGTTCCAGTTCTTGTTCCGCATTTCCTGATGTGAATGAATGGTTCCGGTTTTCGCGGTTACATGCAATGGTGAGATCCAAGCTTTTGAATGGCTTAGAATGAGCACGGATTTAGAAGGTTAGGGGATTCAGGAATTCAAGTTTTGTGTTTCGAGTTGGAATGGTGTCCGAATATATATAGTGCTAGGAGAAGGCTGAGATTATCCTTGCAGCACTTCCTGTAGGATTGCTTTATTGATGATTAGGCCCAGCTTGTTGTCGTTGTGCTTGATATTTCTTTTGTGGTGTAACTGATAACAGGCTAAGAAGAAAGTGGCATTGCTCCTCCAAAAGCTGAAGAAATACGAGCTACCCGAGTTGCCCCCATCGGTGCATGATCCCGAGCTATTCACGCCGGAGCAGCTTCAGTCGTACAAGAAGATAGGCTTCAAGAACAAGAACTATGTCCCTGTCGGTGTTCGTGGAGTGTTTGGAGGAGTGGTGCAGAATATGCACATGCACTGGAAGTTTCATGAGACTGTGCAGGTGTGTTGTGACAACTTTCCAAAGGAAAAGATCAAAGAGATGGCCACCATGATAGCAAGGCTTAGCGGCGGTATTGTGGTGAATATACATAATGTGAAGACGATTATCATGTTCCGTGGCAGGAACTATCGACAACCCAAGAACTTGATTCCCTTTAATACTTTGACAAAGAGGAAGGTATGTGCTGACTTTTTGTGTTTCCGTGTTAATGGCTATATAGCGGTTCTCTATTGTAGGCAAACCGTAGAAATGTAGTCCTCACCTGTAGACGAGTTGCTCTGTGAATGAGCTTTAGAAGTTGAGATATTCTTAAAGTTGTAGTGAGCAGAACATTTGTCTTGATTTATGCTATGCTGTACGTGAAGGTACTGAAAAAGGATAGCATTTCTTATTCAATCCATTTTATGAAGTTACTTTTGCATTGAATTGCTGCGTGCTGTAGTGGAATAGTGCTATTGCTGCTCATTCTAATCTTCATTTTTCTGCTTCAGGCATTATTCAAGGCAAGATTTGAGCAAGCACTAGAATCACAGAAGCTAAACATCAAGAAGATAGAGCAACAGCTTCGACGGATGGGTGTAAATCCTGAGGATCCAGTGGCCATGGCTAGCATCCAGAGAGTAGCTTCCACGTTTTTCAATGCAATTGACAGCAAAGAAGGAAGTCCATATGTATTCAAAGGCGACGAACTCTCATCACCACAGCCTGCTGATGATGATGCGGAGCATTCAGATCAAGGAGCCGATAGTGATCAGGAGGAGCTGAACCGCTTTATATCTGAGATAGAGGATGCTGCTGATAGAGAATGGGCTGCTGAAGAAGCAGCTGAGCAAGAAGAGTTTGGCAGGATTAGGTATAGGAACAAAGATGAAAATGGCGGGAGGCTAAGATTTGAGAATAAAGAAGCTTATGAGGAGGCTGTCAGACAAGGGAAGGTTTGGCGTGACCCACGTGATGATCGCAAGAGTGCTGGGAGAGGTGATGATGGTGACGAGAGGGATGGAATCTCAGATGAAGAGGATGAGTGGGATTCTGACGATGATCCCCGAGATAATGATCATGTTATAGGTAGATCACAGAAAATGAACCAAGATAGGGGTAGAAGTATGAGGTATAGTAACAACGACCGTGTTGATAGAAGACCTTCTACAACTAAATTCAACAGGAAGGAAGTTGAAGAAAAAGAAGAGGATGAGTGGGACCCTGATGATGATTCTCGTGATACTAATGGTCGTGTTATAGCTAGATCACAGACAAGAAACCAACATAGGGATACAAGTACGAGGTATAATAACATCGATCATTTTGATAGAAGACCTGCTGCGAATAAGCTCAATAGGAAGGAAGTCGAAGAAAAAGAAGAAGATTCTGAATCTGACGACATGCTGAGTGATCTCGACAATGCGATGTGGAATTCAGACGAAGAAGAAGATGAAATTGGGGCATCGAAGAAGAAAGTGCCTCCAGGCCGCAGTTTTAGAAGCAGCAGTAGTGGAGAAGAGGATGATGAAGAGGATTCTCGTGGCAAGTTGAGAACAGCTCGAGGTGCAAGAGTGAGTCAAGGAAGATTCAGCACAAGGACAAGTGAGTCCCGAGCAAGTTGCAGAAGGGAACCAGCTGCTGATGGAGATTCTGGTTCAGAAGATGTGGGCTTCCCAATGTGGCAATCGGACTCGGACGATGAACTCAATCCAAATGAAGGCAGCAAACTCGGCTTCAATCACACGGATGAAACTAAGGAGCATGGGAAGCAAGGGGGGAAGAAGGTGAAGACGGTGAAAGAAATGGACGAACTTTGGGACAGTGACTGAGTCATCTGCAGCAATTCCAAGCTATTGATTTAGTAGCCAGAAGCAACCAAACCCCTCCTCGCCATTCTGTGGCAGAACATATTGTGATTCATTGTTATTGTTAAAAAGCTGTAATCTTGTTCGTTGATTCAAATCGAAGTCGTATCATGTCAGATTAGCAGCAGCAGCAGCAGAAAGCTGACTTCTGCAACAGTTTTGTATACCCCCAGGCCCCATGATTGAAAATAGACGCATATTATGTTGACGGATCACTTATTATTGCTCGTTCCATGGGTATGATACCACTTCCGTATGAGTTCAATGTGTCAACCTTCTCGACTATGGCCTCATATGATCTGAAACGACCAAATGACACTCTTCTGTGGGAATATTCATGCTCTAGTCAGTCAGCCATTCACCACTCACCATCTAGCAAGAGAAGTTAAGGTCTTAATGATTCACGCGTCCAAAAAGTAATAGGAGAAGAGACTAGTTAAAAAAACAAAAAACATATCAAGAACAAAGTCTTGTATGTGTGGTAGACTTTTCCAAGTCAATCTTCCATCCCCATCCCACTTATTATCTTGGCATTAACTGAGAAAACATACGCGGCATTTCATGACCATGACATTGTCTTAATTTTTTTGATTATCAATATTAGAGTGATTAACTAGATAATTAAATAAACAGTAAGATTAATGTTACTACTAGCATGTAGTTTAGCTCTTGATGATTTCATTATTCACCTGTCATTGTCACTTAAGACGGCCGGGGACGGCAAACTAAACTGCACAAGTCCACCTACAAAACAAATAATCAGGAATATTATCCTCCACAACCTTGACAAAATTAGATCTTGTTGTTATGATTGCTACATTTATTTTAAGTTGAGAGAGACGATCATCATAAATATACATGAATGAATGAGCGAGCGAGTTTGATACTAGAGAAATCTTATAATATAGTATAGTATACTCGTGACACTCGAATAAACCGTGTGATATGTTTGTTTTACGTTAGTGTAATAATAGTAAGAAGAGAAGAGTTAATTAAGGATGAAGGATTGAAGTTTCTTCTTTTGTGATTGGGAGTGCCATATGTGGAGTGATAGTAAGTTCATAACAAGTAGGAACCTAATATTAGATAAATAAGACCGATAAGATAGAATTTTATAATAGTGTTTTTCCACGTTCTCACTATATAATCTTCTTCTTATCATTTAGTTGGTAAATGAGAGAATGTTTAACTCTACATGCCCATTGACTAAAATATCAACAAATTTTGAGGATCGGCCACATTGAGAAAGGAAGCGAGGAAACAGGCAACTTGGCAATGACTACATCAAAGTTTGAACATGATTGTGATTGTGAAGAGACCGTAAGTGCTAGGTTGAGAGAAGACTCATGACTCGTTTTTTATTCGTTTGTGAGTTGTATGATATTTGTTTAAGAAAGTAGTAGAATTAGGTTCTGGAGGATTCGTATGAAAATGGTTGTCCTATTTGATTTCACTTGTAACAACAATTAGAGTCCTGGTGATTCAGAATAGTACGAAAGAACAAAAACTCATATTATGCCTTGTTATGCTCGTGAATAGATAATCTTCATTTAATACGAGTTGGATCAAATCAAATAAAATGGATGATAGATAAAATGGTAGAGGCTAGACAAAAAAAAACTTACTCTCGTTCCTCACTCCGCTTATAAACCAGACAATACTTGTTTAGAATTAGTCAATACCAAATCATACATGCTATGCGTTTGTGGTGACCATCCGCTAATTCAAGCTCAGTAATGCTCATTAGGGGGTGGAACATTTTTAACACATGTACTACGAAAGTTAACTCTATAGTTGATGTCATTAGCTGATCGGGACCAACCTTTTATGCTTTTTGACATTCATATCATTAAAAATCCTCATATGAAACTCACATATTTAATCGTACTAAGATTTGGATAGCACAAACCCGACAAGAAAATGTCTTGTACGGTCCGGCAATTTACATCCACTTTTCAAAATGTGAATTACAATTCTTCCACCATACCAACAGATTTTATTGTTTGATGACACCACAGCAACATTATTAATTCTTCCATCCAAACACAAAAGGTCCCCATCAATCCATCATCTCTTCTCCTTTTCCACCACTCAATTTGGGGAAAAGTTAATCTGCTAACTTGAAAATTCGTTAGCAGATACTAACTGATATCCAAAATACATGAATTAGTATCCAAGTACTAAAGTATCTAGAAAGCACAAACTAGTATTCAAAGTTGGCTAACTGATATCCACTATGAATCAACTATTATCCCAAATTCACAAACTAATATCTAAACAACACAGAATAGTATCCATACGGCACATAAATAGTATCCATACAGCACATAAGAGTATCCAGATAACAGATAAGAGTATCCATATTGAATACTAATTGGTTGGTTGTAGATATTAGTTGGTATCTGCTATCTGGATACTAGTTTGTGATGTTTTGAATACTAGTCTGTGCTATGTAGATACTCAACAGACTTGGATATTAGTTCATACATTTTGGATATTAGTTAATATATACTAACGAATTTTCTAGTTAGCAGAATAACTAGGCTCATCAATTTGCCCTAAAAGGCTAAAACAGCATAAACCAATTCACCAACCAACCCAACCGTCCACCTAACCGCCCAACCAAACAAAACTCACCATTTGCTACTCTCTACAGAATCAGCACACAAACAAACCGCCATTTCTTCCCAATGGTTTCTTTGCCCCCTCCACAGCTCCAGAGATTTCTCTCATTCCAATATCGCAACGACACTTCACCAAACCCCCTGTAAAGGGTGAGATGCTTTTGTCATTCTCTCATCTGTCACCATTTTAAGGCAAGAGACCAAGAGAAGTGAAATTCCACCCAAGTTTTCCTAGTAGATGAAGAAAGAAGGAAACTTCTAGGTTCCCCTGTTCAGCACTCTTGCTTAAGGACGCGTCTAGTAGTAGCTAAAACAAGCAAGACCCTTAAACAGACAGGCTATAATGTTCCACTTTAAAAAGGGGAAAGAGAAGGGTCCTGAAATTTCCCAACTGCATAAGCAGTTAGGACAGCCCCTTTGGCAATAGACACAAGCAACAAGGAATCCTCTGGCTTTCCGGATTCTGACACCTAACTGCCTAATTTTCCTTTGTGATCCAGGCTTAAGAAAGAGAGCAAAAGTTGCAGGCTTGGCACTCTCAGAGTAAGCCAGAGGGAGTTTTTTAACCCTAAGAATGTCTATTGGGGAGTTTCACTGCATGTGGACTTGACTGAGTCTAGAATATAGATTAATATACTTGCAGAATATGCTTTCAGCCACTGATCTGCCTAAAAATACAAGAAAAAAATTAAACAGACTAAGCTTTGCCACATGCATCTCAAACTAAGAAGATTAAGGAAACATGACAAGCAGAAAACTATACAAGGCACTCAAAGAACATCTCATCCAGAAATGTCATTCCTACACTTGTTGAAATTCTAGTGATAGAAATTACAGGGGGGAAAAAGACGAGAATCATCATAGCTAACAAAAGGATAAGAAAAGCTCAGAGTAGTTCAATGACGAAATGAGTCATAGTTAATATATTATATAAGGTGAAGGGAAGAGGCCAACATGTATATCACTTTCTATAAAATTAGAGTGAATAAACAACATGAATCTAGCTATGATTCTTTTCGTTAAAGAAAGTCGAACCCCATGTAGAAATAACCTGGAAGAGGTCAACTGTAATCTAGAATAATCTCTCTGCGGAAGGCATGCATTGGGAAACTCCTAAAGATATGTCCCACTCGAACAAGCTTCCACCACATGAACAATCTATACCACTTCATGGTCGAAGCAGCAGCGCCTCCAAAGTCCAAGCATTCAAAATTTCCCCCCTCTCATCATCAATCTCGATTGCGCACCTCTCTAAAAGAATGGTGTTCAATGTCTCAGTCCTTGTAAGGTATACTTGTAGCAGTTCCACGCCATGGCTCGTCTATTTTCTGAACATTTGCCTTCTCGCCTGTGCAAAACACCAACCTCGGCATTCCCTGTGAAGTCTACAAAAGAAGCCCTACTCCCCTTCAAACTTCAGCCACTTTCTCTCTTGCAGTTCCCAGGCAAAAGATACTTGTATTTCTCAGCATTGTTCAATAAGAATGCAGGAAGGTGAACTGCTGAGAAAGTCCTTGGTATAGGACCCATCTTCCCAATGATCTCCTTGAATGTGTACTCCTCAGGTAGCATATCAAACAAATCCGCACCCTTACAGATCACATCCTGAACTCTCTTTGGATCCAAGTAATGTGAGAATCTCACCCTGTCGTAATGGCTGTAAGCTTTCATCTTAAACACGAAGTCACTAATGTACCGAAAGCAAAAGCTGCAATGCCACCCTGAATCAGCGAGAAGAACATCCGACTGTCTGTAATGAGCATATCGAGTCTTCCCAGTTCGATACCTATGAATGGAAGCCCTCCAGCTCTTGTTATCCACATGATACTCGTAAGAATACAAGTAATTCTTCAGCTGAAGATGAAGAATAGGAGGAATATCATCACACCATCGAAGGAGATTAATCGTGTGAGCACTTGGGATCTCATCCAGATCGGACATTATCAGTAAATCATCATCTTCAATCCCAGCAATTCTGATCAACTGGTCTAGTGCAACTCTCTGATAAGCTTCTTCAACAAATGGGTTCTCCCCCTTCTTAAACCTTCCTCCAATCGTCCCGTAAGTCAGCCGAGGGTCAATGAACTTGAACTTGTCCCTATTGCCTGCGAAGATGAGAGGCTTAGGCAGTCCAGTAAATGTAGAGTTCGACTCTAGAAGCACAAACTGTGTTATATAAGGGTACAGCTCGTTCCACCGAATGGTGAGCATGTCGACTTCGTTGCTGAATAAAACAGCATCATAGACTCGTCTGGGGGACTCACGGACCCCCCAGCCGTGGAGCTTGCAGAGAGTTTCCATTGTCACGTTCTCATTGTAGTAATGCGGGATGACATTGAAGGGCTTTGGAGGTCTCTCCCATAGTGGTCTCAGGAAGTAGGTGATCTTCTGCCCGTGGACATAGACTCCCAAGACTATCAGAGGAATGGCTATGAATATCAGAAGGCAGGTCTTGAAGTCAAAGCCTCGCAGGATGCATTTCAGTCGAGACATGCTTAGAGGCCCTCTGGCAGACTGTTGAAGATCAAAACCAAGAAAAAAGAGTCAGTTAGATACCTGAATGAACAAAAGGGTTCTACAACATTAATAACATTACTAACATCTAAACAACAAGGAAACCATCAATCCAATTTCGACAATTTGATCAGAGAAAGCAAATTCCAATCCGTATGTTCTAGTCAAAAACTTCCTAAGCGCACAGAAACAAGGCAATTGGCTGATAGTGCAAAGTACAGACCATTAACTACACTCTTGTCCTAGAAACCTACTTCGACCAATTTCCAAATTGCATCCATTAGCTTGTTCGTTGAACTGGAGAAGGATAAAAGAAATTGAGAACTGAGAACAGAACAAATCAATCAATAACGTGCACACTGATCTCCACGGCCTTGAAAAACCAGGACAGCAGCCGAAGGGAGAAGAATATATAAACAGAATCAAATGCTCAACCAAGAACGGAAAGGAAGACAAATTTTTTTACAAAACCCTTTTTCCGGAACAGAAAGGGGTGGGCGAAAAAGGAAGAGAAGATGGGGGGAGTTAATTTTACCTGGCCGCAAATGTTCTCGCATATATCATCAGATTTCTTCGAACTGTAATACCCTCCTTCCTCCATGATTCTCCCAAAATCCACCACAGAAAATTTCTATGATCAGGAACAAAACCCACCCCACAGAAGATAAAGACGAACCCCGCAAATCCCCTGCTTCCTTCCTCCCACAATGTGTACAACAATGGCTTCACCTGAAACCCAGCTATCCCTCTCCTCCTCTCAATCGAAACCCAAATCGAGGGAGAGAGATATATCCCACAAAATATCGAGACGAACCGAAATTCCACCTCGGAAAGCGATACCAATGGCCGCCGAGAACGATTTCCAATTGAAAGGTTCTTTGTTTGGGCAGAAGGAGAGAACTCTCGCTCCCTCTCTCTGTTTTTGCCTTTTTGGATTGCCGCTCGATAACTATTCTCTCCTCCTCCCTCTGGCTTCTCCAGTTATTTATAGACAAGAGAGATGGCGAGGAAATTCCAAAGACGAACCCAACAAGGATTTGTAAAAAATCCAAAATAGACACGGAAAAGGAAAACCGGTTCAGAAGAGATGAGGAAATATGATAACAGCCGTAGGATTGGACTACTGTTTCCTGGGAATATCCTGATCTGACGGTTGTATTTTTTTTCTTGTTGGTGATTATTATTATGTAGGAGGTTTTCCTTTTGTTATGGTCCATAGAGTTTCCTTTTCTTAATGATCTGGCAGTAACGGGGTGAACAGTTTGGGTTATGCCGTCTCGTGGTAAATTCCGTCATCGTCTATTTTCTTGGTTCCTTTCCGATGCCCTCAATTCCCAAATCCCTAAAAATTACCCGGTGAAAATTAATTACTTATCGTTAAGATGCACTTGCGCTTAGTGTGATAACTTTGTGGGTTGAAATTCCACGTTTGTAATCCTGTTTGGTTTACAAAAACTCTTACTCTAATTGGATCGTTTGGATGAAAAATTGTAATGGATTAATTTGACACAATTTTTTTGTTTTGAGACAATTGTATCAAATTTACTCGTTTGCCACAAAAAAATTGGATGGATAAATTTGCTTGAGGTATTTTGAATTGATTCGTTTTGATTCAATTTCAATTATCTGAGGTATAGGTAGGTGATTCGAATTGACTCGTTCTAATTGTCTCGAATTGACATAGAAGAAAATAACTTTACCCGGTTATATTTGATATCCAATAAGATAAGATTATGAATTAATTTACCATACAAACCTCAAGATAATTATAAAATTTTGATAATATATGAATTGATCTTGTCTTTGAGGGAAATGTTAAAAATTGACCAACTTAGCCTTGGACCTCTTCGTGGTTAAGGCAGAGTTTTGGGGCCGACACGTAGGGGGCAATTGTGTCACATCGCAGGCGGAGGACGGGATCGTGATCGTCGGCCGAGGGGAGGTTACCGGTTACGCGGCGCTCGAGCTTGACACGGTAAAGTATAAGAATCCCCAGCCGTTTAATGTTTCCCGCTTCTTTTCGGTTTTCCGGCGGGCGTTATGAATAAGGAATTCGTCAAACGTGTTTAGGGATATCCCTAATTTGGGCTGAATTAGTAAGCCTTTGGATTAGTGATCATTAATTACGCTGTGTAAACGGTCAACAGTGCAATAATCATATCAGTCCTTCCTAATCCAAAAGTAAAGTCTTTCTCGAGACTTGAGTCTTGGGCCTACTACTACTACTACTAATTTACTAGCTTTGCACACTCCTAGTCGTTAGGTCTTTAAAGAGAAAATTATGGATTGTTAATACAAATTTTTTGACTTTCCCCAAATTTGTTTCTTGGAATAGGGAGGGAAAAGGGAACTGGATTCTTATTTAACGCTCTAACTTTTTAAAATTTTCACCCTAAATTAACCAAACGGACCAAAGTACCCCCAATTCCTAAAACGGTCGCCCTCAATCCATTCACCCTAATCCCTAGCTTGGCTCTGCTCATCGTCCCTCCCAAGCCTGTTGCTCGTCGCCGGTGGAAGATTCCTCACCCACGCCCCCAATCCATCGCCCTATCCCAGCTTGGCTCTGCTCGTCACCCCTCCCGCGCCCTATGGATCTTCCTATGCTCGTCGACCGCTGAAGCAGAGCAATGGATCTTTCTTATCTTCTTCGTTCTTGAGCGGAACAGCAACGGAGGGGGAGAAGAGAACAACTGGAGAGACAATTCCGCCGGTGGGGATTGGGCCGGATGGGATTAGGGCGATGGCGACAAGGCAGACCTGGGGAGGTAGCCGCCTCGAGGAATCCCTAGGTCGAGCGGCACAGCGGAAGGTACTTGTGGCGGCGACGGCGACCCCGGACGAACGGCGGTGACAGTGAAGAATCCTAGGGCGAAGATTTGTTAGAGACTGGGAATAAAAGCGTGTGGCAAAAACGTCAGATTGCAAAATTAGGGCGATAAATTTTAAAAACTTAGGGCGTTAATTAGTAACTCTTAAAGGGAAAGCCCTTTTCACTGCTCGTGATTTTGTTTCCAAAAGGTATTACATTTTTTTTAATCCAAGATAAGCCCCAAGGGCATGGCCGGACAACACAGTTAAAAGAGAGATACTAACAAAGAACGGTAAAGCATAAATTGTGGAGAAAGAGGATGCGAGTTGAGAAAGGTCAAATTGTGACGCAAATTGACGCAAATTGACAAGTTTATTGATTAATGTTGAAAATTATAACTACAATATTCTCAGCCTACAATCTTGATCTCCCACTAACCACGATTGATCACACTAATCTTGAAAACAAGCTAATTGACTCTCTAAACTTCAGCTCTAAGCAACACAAGCCGTAACACTCGACTTGTCCTTATTTGACTAAAAAACAAACTTAAAGTGACCAAACTGAAAGAAACCAAACGACACAGTCTTCAACACAAATGAAAACGACGCAGCTTCAATAAAGACATGCTTTTAAAAGCTCTGCTTCTTGGCGCCAACTTTCAACACAAATTTGGTAAATTTTTTACATATGAGTGGATAAGGAGATGTGCACGAAGTCGCTACAAATGTTGTTGTGCTTTGAAAAATCATTCGTAATAAGGAGTGTAAAGATGAGTGTAATGGGGGGCGGGGGGTGTCCGACGTACGACTTTTCAACAAATCAGATAGAATGTTTGGATATATGAAACTACTCATCACGAGTGTAAATAAGATGCGAAGTGTAATCATTAAGATTTTATTAGTCGGTGAGTGTCACCATACAACTAGAAGCTTAAATGACTTGATAGAATAACACTCTTCATAATTCTTAGTTATTTGTTCGAGGAAAAAATTATTACCGTCGTTATATTCTATCCTAGTACCACTGCCCAGACGAGCCCTAGAGAGTTGATTGTGTTGTAGCATAATCTTTGGCAGACATGAAATGGCTAATGTTGGAAGGAGATGTTGTTGTCACTTAAAACCCAATCCCCTCGCCAAACCAATTCGGTTCATAAACTTGTTAATCTAAGTCGTAGTCAACTATATCCTCTTAACAGTGATTTATTGACTTACAAAACAATATTTTTCTAGCGAGGATAATAAGCAAAGGTAGTGTGTGGGTGTATGTTTTTCTTCACTAATTGCTAACACGACAACAATTTTGGCAATAAGTAAAAGATTTCTTATCGTTCGTTTTTTGTGAAGAAAAATCAATTGGCCTCTCATGGTCAAGTCTTTAACTCCTAGTTTGTGACCCTACTTTTAAAGGGTGGAAAGGTTCCTTATTGTGCACCCTCCCACCTCCTAAAGGTCATCAGGATATTCGCATGTTGTATAGAGTTTGACCTCCTCAAACTTAGTCATATATGGGTAAATTGTTGTAGTGAATCCGTTAATGCAAGTACTTCCACAACAATGATTTCCCATCCAAAAGTGTGTGACAGAAAATATCTCATCTCTCGACATAGCAGCATTATAATTTACTTTAGAAATTTTTAAATGAAAAAAATAATTACTTTTATCTTTCGATCACGTTTTGATTACTTAGATAATTTAATTTTTAGTATGTAAAAAAAATGATTTTTTTCTTTTTATAAGGACGAAGAGGTGAGATTGAGCCCTTCGGTACTGCCTTAGTAGAGGTGTGGAGCTATTCAACTATCATATCACATGAACTTCCTCTGTATAAATTATGTTCTCTTGTTTTTATCTCTATTTCATAGATGTTGTTAATAATGAGGAATCACAACTGCATATTCGTTTGTTATACTGCATGCTACTTGTACATATATATCGATAATAATTACAGCGAAACACTCAACTATTTTTTTTAAATACTTATCTAAAAGCTCCAACCAGAAGCTGCTTCTACAAAAACTACAGCAGAGCCAAACTAAGCTAACAAGATCCATTTTAACTACTTTTTATTGTTTAGAATTTTTATTTTATATTATAATTCCTTTATAGTCATTTTACACAATCTCTCACATTAAAAAGCACTTCTAATAGTTTTACCGTCAAACACTCAACTGCTTTTTTTTTAAGTACTCATCTAAAAACTCCAACTAAAAGCTGCTTCTACAAAAGTTACAGTAGGGCCAAACTAAGCTATTGTCATGCAGGCAGGGCAAGAAATGGATATTCCTTGTTCGTCTCCATTGGGGATCATTGTTCAATGAATTCATCGGAGAGACAGCAAAACAAACCTCTCTATAATACCGACGTATATATAGACGATGGGGCTTACAATTACAAAGTCATGGAGATAAAGAATTTCAACACTTGTTAATCAAGGATATAATGTGTTATATTTGCTGAATAAATAAATAAATAAAAGAATTTTTTTGTAGTCATATAAGAAGTTATGTTTGATATGATACATACAAAATATAAAGAAATTTTTTTTATAGTCATATAAGAAGTTATGTTTGATATGATACATACAAAATATATTTATGAATTTTTTTATTCAAATATTGTTGCTATCCAGGATTGAACTGGAGACCTTCAGTGTGTAAAACTGACGTGATAACCACTACACCATAGCAACGAATCTGTTATTCATGGTTTGTCGTGCTATTAGTGGTTTCATATAAGTGAATAGAGATTTAGACCAATCACACAATCATGCATTTACGTGATTGTATGTTTCTTTATACCATGACACTTAGTTCACCTTACGGATATAAAATATATTTTTATGTGCACATGCTTTAATTTATATTTTGAAGAGAGATGGTGAAGTTAATTAGAAAGACAAAAATTGATAAGCAAATAAGCATTTCTCTTTCCTTTTATCTACGAATCTATAAGTTCCTTGAATCCATTATTTTCCACAACAAGTGAATTTGTGTTAGTTGGAAGATATTAAGATTGTAGAGGTAGCGCGCCGTACATCGTCAACTAGTAACTTTCTAACACGTAAGCTAGTATGATATTCTTCTTTATGTGGCGTAGAACTAAACTCTCATTCGTAGTATAATGACGTATCCATGACATTTTCCAAGAAGATTCCTCTAGGGTTTGGTGGGGGTATTGAGTGGTAGTCCTACATTCACAAATGTACTATCCATGGAAACTGCGGATAACTTAACAAAGCCACCATATCACACAAAAACAAATGAAAAGGCAAGGCATATTCTGTCCGTGGGAGAGCATGAAAGTTCCTAAAGTAAAATCCTATCTATTTGGAAGGTTATTGGCCGGAAATGCGGCCTAACCCTCATTCTGCAATGGTCCCCTTCAATTTGTTAGATCTTTTGGCGACGAGGAATTGTTCGTTGAAGCTAAGGCCACGTTTGGAGGAGAGAGTCGTGTACGTACTTTTCATAATTGGCTTCTAAGACTCACTCTCTCACACGACGCCAGGCCACTAGCTTAGCTGGGGTTCTGTTCTGTCCCAGTCCCAGTCCCAGTCCCAGTGGGCAGTGGAGATCGATGTGTGCATGAACTGAACTTTGAGGGTCTCTCATTCCAACATCCTCAAGTGGGTTTTCACGACTCCTCCAATTGATCATATCTATTGACTATTGGGTGGCGAATGAGAAGGAAGCCATGCAAGTTAACTAGTGTGGAGTGGACCAAAGCCACATCAAAGTTTGAGATGCTTTCTTAAGTTAAGACACAACATTATCTAATAAATTCATTTGGTTGATTTACCTAATGCGTGTAGGGTGTCAGTTTTGATTATTTTGAGTTTTGAATTTTAACGGAAACAAAACAGATGATAAGTTTAACGGTTTTTTTCGTTTTTGGTTTTAAACCGTTTAACATTTTAACAGTTTTGGTTTTAGTTAAAACCGAAATACCAGTAAGAAACCGATAACACAACTATGTTGTAGCTACATGGGTTAAACAATTTAAATACTTTCGTTCAACCTTCAACACAAACATCAATCACTGAATGTGATTCAAAGTAAGTATAGTTAAGCTAATCCAACGATGTTAGCTATTCTAACCGAATCGAGTTTATTGATGACGAGACATAGATGAATATCATCTGCGGCACGACTACCTATAGAGTTGGATGGAGTTATATCTATGACAAAGAATAGTACATTCGGGGTATATTATACGCCTGTTCGATGTACTTCAATATATTTTTTGACGAATCACAACCGTACCGTCGGTTATTAGTTATTACTTTTAGAATAAATGAACATTATGGTTCGCGGTAGAGAATTCGCAATTGTGATTCACCCATTAGAGATTAAGATAGCATATCATACCCCAAACTCAATTTAATTCATGATCCAAAATAACAAAACTCGATTAACATATGGTAAAATTAGTGTACACCGGACATACACTAAGATAAATTATATATATGCTTTTCTGAGCTACAACAATGTTGTGCCATATACACAAGACAGGAGTTGCTTGTCCCTCCCAGCTGCATTAATTCTTGTTTCGTGCACCAACCAATGATCGCAATATACTCTTCCGCCAACAAACATCGGCCACCGTAATTTGTAAAGTTAACAGACAGCGAGCAGGGAATTTGTTGGTTGAGCTGATCGATTTCATTGTATTTCCCACCCACCAGAAATCGAACTCCCCAACGGAAACGACGAGGCTCCGTAAGAGATTATCTCTAATTACTTTCGGCCAACCTTGAGATCGATGATCTTTGGAACAACTCCATTTGTCCTCTTCGCTTTTTTCCCTACACGTAGGATAAATACAGAGTCTCTCTCTCGTCATCGGTTTCTTCCCCACCACCACTACCGTCTACCAGCCACCATGGCCCCATCTTTTCTGGCCGACGACTTCTTACACGGAGTCGATCCCTAGTGGCTAGAGAGACTGACTTGTAGCCTACAAGTTGTAGGACTAATTGGAACAGTCAACTGAAATTCAATGCTTATTTAAGTTTTTAGGTGGTGTTGGTAAACGCAGCCTCAACTAAACAAGGAAATTTCTCAAATGGAAACAAAGAATTTTCTATTCGGTGAAATTTTATATTGAAACAACTCTGATTTAGAATAATATGATCGAGCTTAGTAAAAGATCAAGATTTAACATGGTGTTTAGGTTGGAATAGAGATCGAAATTATTTAGATAGAATTTATCGTTCTCCTGAATCGATCTCGTAGGCTGGTCACACGCACATGAAGCAATTGTTGTTCTGCATAGCAGTAATTTGGAATGCTCCTCAGCTATGATTGTGTTGTTGATATATGTAGGGCATATTGAGGTGAACTGAGACTTCATTAGTATATTGTTTGTTAAAGTGAGAAAGAATGATCAAAGTTTGGAGTTTAAGAGATAATTATGGCCAAAGAATATGAATAACATAAGTTATGAAGCTGAGTACGTTTTGAATGTATATGTTTAACATACCGTCATATGGTTTCGATATGGATATCAAAACCACACCAAAACCATCGGGTTTGGAGAAACCCCACCCAGAAGTATTTTTGGTTGGAATCTATGTTTGGGAACTCGAGACTTTGGGTGACCTTGTAATGCTTTGGAGTTGGTGGGAAACCTTCACTAGACGACCGAGAAATTGGGACTTTGGTCAACCTCACAAGCTTAGAAGTGGTAGACGAACCATAAACGCTACAAGGATGAAGGATACCAAGTTGAGTGGAAAAAAGTGGTATCTTCTTCTCAAGACTTTTTGAGCAAAACTTGCAAAGAGTAGAGAAGTAAGAATTTGAGGGTCAAGAAAATATTTCCCATCCCAACGAGAGGCAGCTAGCTAATTCACAGGATCCTCCAGCCCATTGGTCACATTTAGACAACTAAATTGGTTACACTACTCTAGGAAAAAGAAGGAAAAACATGAACAATGCCCATGCACTACGGCCTACCTATATGATGAGATTTTGTTTCTGGGTTTCTCAAAAACATGAACAATGTTACACAAAAACCTTACTCAGGCGGGATTCGAACTTCAGGTCTTTATGTATGATAATGAGCTTCGTCCTCGACATCCAGAATTGATAATCCGTTTTCAGCCACGGTCGGCGCCTGCTCAAATAACAAAACAGCAGCAGTGCATTCATAAACTAAGCTACAGTAATCAGCAGTCACTGAGAGGGTAAGTCTTCATCCAAGATGAAACCTGTGGGTGCCGCCGCCTTACCTTGTGATAATATGTAATTGCAGCTGTAAAATTATCCTGCAAATGCAACACAAGGCGAGACATAGGACTAGTCAAATACCATCATCAGCACACCAGACCCAGACTCCATATCAGTACCAAGCCTGAGGCTGAGAGACTTCATATTTTACAAAGAGCTTCCTAGAATCAAAACTCCAAGTATCTGAAAACTGAAATATACCTGCTTAGCAAGCTTATAGCTGTCCGCGTGCATGTACTTCATCCCAACGGTACAGTGTTGGCAAATCACACCCAAATGGAACAAGAGAATTTAAGATTCAACCTGTAAAAACCAATATATAGATTTGAATCAGCAATGGAATGCTAAAAAATTTGAGATCCTAGGAACAGTCACAAGTTCGAATATGTTATGTAAGCTGAAAACGCCAGCCAAAAGTACAAAGGTTGTGAGAGAACAGTGTTACAACATGCACTATAAGTGACCAAATGAAAAAGGCAGACTAATGCAAGTTAGTCAAATTAATTGCACCCAAGAACCCCGCCGCAATGTCCTAAACATGGAAACGCAAGAAGCATTAAACTATCTGTTTGATGACAAGATAAAATCATGAATACCCTGGAAATAAACGAGCTGCAGTATGGTAATAAGTCGACATTGCATGATCTCCCTCATTTTTGGCTGCAACATAAGCATTCCCCTAGCGTATCCAAGCAGGTGCAGGCTAGTTGCTTTGCTGTTGTAACAGAAGAAGGAAGTGATAAGCCAATGCATCCATAGTTGCTTGCTTCGTAATTTCTGCAGAGCTCCCTTGTTGGGAAAAGAACCAGCGCTGCTGCAACCCAGATACCAACAAAAATGTTAACTTCAAAGGGACAAATGGGTCTGAAAGCACACTGGGTAAAGAAGAGAGAGGGATCAGGTATTAAAAGTTCCCTGGGAAATTGTTGATAATATTCAGTCTTGCAGGCCAAAAGAGCAGAATCATTTTTCAGTGTGCGCATAAAACATTGTCCGGAAGGATAACTGTTGCAGCTTTCCATTTCAAGTTCTTGGAATTTGGCCTCTACAACGCTTTCTCTGTTGCGCTAGATGATTCGCAGAAGGAGAGAGGTTAGTGCATAAGAAGAGAGAAATATACAAAAGCCACTGATAATATATACAAATAACGACCGGAAAACCATGTAAGCACATACACAAACAAGAACACCACCAGGACAATATCTAGCAGAAGTGTAACTTTTCTATTTCAAAATAAAAACTAAATGCTACCTTTTTCCCTTAAGCAAGAGTAGAACGAAGAAAGCCACCCATCTTCCGGAAAAAGTCCAGTGATGAAAATGACTCGTGTCTGGGAGTCCAATAGAACAATAACATGATTATGCATTACATACAGGAGCTAAATCATTTACTGTAGCATGGCAAGACCAAATCATTGATCCTTCAGAAGAAAGAAACATACCATGCTTCATGCAAGACCAATAAAATGTCCTTCAATTGTTACTTTCGTGGTTATCCATATGGTCAGCTAGGTGATTAATTACTAAACAGGGAATGTGACATTACCCACTATAACAAGGCAAATATTGAACGAGCCCTTGCTTCCGAAAGAATTAGGACGACTAGAATTTTCCCAACACATTATGAATGCATATGATTTATTCCCAAAAAAGATGCAATCGGGAAATGGTGTTAGCACTTCTCTAAATAACACAGAAAGTCAGAATGACTCACGTTGTCTGGTTCCCGGTTCACCCGAAGCAAAATCAATAACGTATTTTGGTAACTCAGCTTCTGCATGTACGATAAAATCCTGATGCTTTCAGATCAGATCAGTAGCTTAACAGGGCTTTAACAATATCAAAGCAACTTTCTTTTTTCAACATGTTTCTCCTTAGGCTACCAAGTGCCCCATAAATCTGAGGTGTCAGTGGACATGAGGAATCTCCAGAGTAGAAAACACCGACTTTGTTCCTGACTTCAATCCAGCTGCATCCACCCTTCTTTTTCAGCCCTTCTTCTTTCATCAATGCCCTTAACTTTGCAGCACTGTCCCACAATTCAGCTTCTCCATAAATATTCAGAAGCTGAGCATAATTGCTGCCTCTACTTGGCTCAATCTTTGATAGCTCAGTAGCTGCAACTTCTCCAAGATCCACGTTATGATGAGCTCGACAGGAACTTAATAGCGATAACCAAATGCTCTTGCTAGGTTCAATAGGCATGCTCCTAACTAGGGCATAAGCATCATCTAGCTGTCCTGCACGACCTAACATATCAACAACAGTTACATAATGCTCTTCTCTAGGTTCAACCCCATACTCAATTTTCATCAAATGCAGAAGATCGAGGCCTTCCTTAATCAAGCCTGAATGATTGCAAGAGGAAAGTAGAGAAATGAAGGTGATATGATCAGGCTGGATCGAAGTATTCCTCATTTCATCCAATAATGCCATTGCTTTCCAGCACTCACCATGCGATCCATAACCATCCATCATTGAATTATACAAAACCAAGTTTTTCCAACACATTTTCTGGAAAACATTCTGCGCGTATTTCAGAGATCCAGACTTGATGTACATGTCAACTAGTGCGTTCTCTAAATGAATATCAGTTAGAATTCCTTGCCTAATGAGGTAACCATGCAGAGTCTTCCCTTTGACCAGAACTGCAAGTAATGAAACAGCAACAAGAGCATTAGTGATAGATAGGGCGTCAGGATCCAATCCATACTCTAGAAACTGATAAAACGTTTCCATGGACCTCTCAGGCAGGTCGTTTCTGCTATAACATGACATCATCGAATTCCAAGAAACAATGTTTTTGAATGGCATGTGAGAAAACACATTCGCAGCCATGTCAGGGAAGCCACATTTAGAGTACATATCCAAAAGGGCACTTGCAACAAAAACATCTTTTTCTAACCCACTCTTAGTAACAAATCCATGCATCAAAGAGCCCAAATTTACATTCTCCAATCCTGTGCAAGAACTGATTGCACTTGCCATGATATCAGAATCCGGTTTCAGTCCATCTTTCTTCATATCTCTGAAACAATTCAAAGCCTCAACAAATTTTTCATTTTGGCTAAAACCAGAGATCATGGAGCCCCATGCAATCACATCTCTACCCGTCATACTACTAAAAACCAAGTTAGCTTCATGGTCCAGCCCACCCTTAGTATACAACGTAAGCAATGCACTTTCTACGGTAATATTTCTTTCTATAGGTCTTTTGACTAAATCTGCATGGACCAACCTACCCAAGTCGAGCACTTCAACTATGTTGCAACAAGATAGAACATGTGCCATTGTGAAAGAATCGGGGATGATATAGTGAATCTTCAATTGCTTGTAGGTGTCTAAAGCACCATAAATAGAACCGCTGCCGGCATAAGCTGAGATCATTGCGTTCCAAAGTTCAATTCCCTTGTCACTAACTTGCTCAAACACTCTTTCTGCACCTTCTATAAATTTGCACTTGGCATACATGGTCAAAAGAGAGGTACAAACATAATGGTTACTCGCAAAACCCATCTTAACGACATCAGAATGAACCTGTTCACCAAAACTTACACACTCGCCCTGACCACAAGCACCCAAGATGTTGGTGAAGGATGCCGAAACGAGTTCCATTTCTTCACTCTTGCCCAGCAAATACAACTCCAAGCTACTTTCCCACAAACCATTCTCAGCAAGCCCTCCCATCATCACATTCCATGACACAACATTTCTCCTCCTGTTCTCTAGCCCTTGGAACATACGACAGGAAGTCATCGGCCTAGCACACCTAAAATACATGTCTAATAGCGAACTCTCTAAGAAAGTATCACTACCAAGCAAGTTTCTAACAACATAGCCATGAATCTGCCTCCCTTCTTCATATCCCAAATACCCAACTACAATGCACAATGAGTAGGCATCAGGCGAATCCCAGACGATTGCATCCGACGAAAGTGAGCAACACCCTCCTTAACACGACCGAAACGAAAATACCCATCAGTTATCGAGTTCCAAATCGAAGAATCTCCCGCCAAAAGCTCCCTTTCCGGCAATTTATCGAACACCTTAACTGCATCCAGCAGTGACCCGCATTTCACATACATGTTTATTAGTGAAGTAGTAATGAATGGATCACGGCACAAACCCATGGCAGTGATCGTCGCTTGAATCGTTCTTCCGTACTTAAGGTTTGCAAGGGAAGCACAGGCTTTGAGAAGAGAAGGAAAGGTGTACTTGGAAATGACAGCAGGAGTATGGCGAGCATACAACTGCAATGCTTGTACATGGAACCCTTGCCAAACCAAGTCCTTGATTGTGGGAGAGGAGGAAGAATTCAGATTGACCAGAGAATGTAAGGCCCTGAAACCAACACACCTAGAGTTGAATTTGTTCAAGAACTCATCCGGATATCTGCGGGAATACTGTGTCGATGCCAGCAGACGGCGGGGAAACGACATCAACGTCCGCCGCATTTGAGGATCTGAATTAGAAGCGCAAAATCCCAAATCATAATGGGGCTCGAGGAAGAGAAAACAACAACCCCGTACGCTAAAACCAAATTTATCACTAACCTGCGAACACTCTCTGTTACTGTAAACTGCAAAGCAATGGCCTTTTTCAGTTTAAAGAAAGCGGCAGCGGGAGGAACTCAATCAGACGGCGGCAACACCATTTGGCGGTCAATTTACCAGAATCCAGAAGTGAATTAAATCTTTTTCATTTGGGCTTATCTCATTAGCCTTAACGTGGGCCGGAAGCCCAGCAACGGAAACAACTTCCATCGCTCACTCCGAGCTCTGGAGTACGTCACCGTGAGTCAGATAACCACAAGGAACCGAAGAAAACTTGCGATTTCCTCTCTGTCACGATGGTCAGAAGAAGTGCGAGGAAGAACCAGCTCTGAAAAACTCTTGCAAATCTGTAACCGGAGGGCGACGTGGCAAAAATCGACGGAAAAAAGGCTGGCTTGCCCGGAGGATCTCCCTTCCGGCGATAAGTGATTCTCTCGCTTTTTCCCCCTGACTTGAATTAGCTCCGGCCGCCCGATCTTCTTTCTGGTCTACGGCCTCGCTGTTTCGGCGACTCGGTTTAGGGATTTCAGTCTGGAGCTCTGCGCCTGGGCAGTTACTGGACGAATTGGTAGGGGAGCTGGTTAATCGTTTGTCTCTTTGTCAAGTTAGAGCTTTATCGAGATGGATTTGGTTTCTGGATACAAGGTGATCGTCTGCTTTCTTTATCCTTCCGCTTCATTTGTTCAGCTGCTCTTATTTCTTGATTCAGTGTGGCCTTGTCAAATGCTGGTTTGCTTGCTTGTCCTGCATGTGATGGCCTATGTTCTGACGAGCTTTGTGTGTGAATTCGTGTTCAGTATCCCCATTGGTGATATAGTTGTTAAATTGCCTGTGTGGCTGAGCGAGATTTGTTTCTATGCAGGGTATGGTTGGGCTTGTTTTTGGCAACGAGAATTCCTCTTCAAATGAAGATAGGTGAGCTACTATCAACTGATGTTATGCATGTTACAGTTCAAGGTTAAGGAAACTTTATTTTCGGATTGAGTACTGTTTTTAAGTTGCCAATGGCTTAGTCAAGTGGTCTTTTGGTTCTTAGGATCAAAACCTATATGCCTTAAAGAAAGGAGCTTTTTGGTTGTAGTAAATTCTGCAGCATAGTGCCTGGTCTCACTATTCAATTGATAGGCATAGGGCTGCTGAGCTGTTCTGTGTTGAAATCCAGTATTTTCTTTTCAAATTCGCATGTCAATCCAAACCAATACCTGATCTTTTTAATCCTGCCAATAAACTTTGAACACTGCTGTCTAATTATACTTAAGAAAGCTATTTCTCTCTTTTAATATGAGGGTTATGTAGATTTCCTCTAGAACGCCTTGTGAAGTGCCTACTCCGGTGTTTAATATGTTAGGCATACGACTTGCATTGTGTCCCCTGCTGCAATCCATTATTCGGTTCTTGGTCTTAGTGATTAGTTTGTTAAATTGGTTTATTGTGCATGGTACTTTGTTAGCTATGTGCAACGGTTGCTGGACCGAATCAGCACTGGTTCATTGGCAGAGGATAGGAGATCAGCCCTGATCGAGCTTCAATCAGTTGTGGTAGAAAGCCGTGCTGCACAGCTAGCATTTGGGGCTATGGGTATGTGCTCCCTTTGTCACACCTCTAACATCCAGGTTGTGACTTTTAACATTCTAATTCCTTTGTTCATTATGTTATTCAATAATACATACTTGTTATCTTGCAGGATTTCCTGTTTTGATGGGCGTCTTAAAGGATGAGAGAGATGATGTTGAAATGGTATCCTATCTTCTCTCATTTTCAACTGTTTTCTTTTATGTATTAATATTAATAATGTCAAGGATGGAATTGGAGGATGTTCACTCTTTGGTTTTTAGTCTGGCTTATGTAAACTGATTTACCATTTCTCGTGTTAAAGGACTTGCTACATTGGTGCAGATTCGAGGTGCCCTTGAAACTATTGTAGGAGCGTTGACCCCTCTAGAGCAATCAAAAGGAAAGAATGAGGTCCAACCAGCACTAATGAATACGGATATGCTCTCACATGAAGCTGAAAACATATCCTTGCTTCTGAGTTTATTGGTGATCACTTACTGAAATTAATCCCTATCTGCATTTATTTTAATTAGAAGGATAAGTGCAGCCTTTGTTGTCTCTTCTTGATTCTTTGTTTCTACCTCTTGCAGTCAGAAGAGGATTTCTATATACGTTATTACACTCTTCAAATCTTGACAGCTCTTCTAATGAATTCTCCGAATAGGTACGATTAGTAGCATCCTCCTTTTTTTTTTTTTTTGGTTCCTCTTCTGTTCCAGTTGTTCCTTTTGCATCTTTTCCCCTGGTTACGCTGGAAAAGCTCTTGCTGAGTTCCTATTCAGGTTACAGGAAGCAATTTTGACCATTCCTCGGGGCATCACTCGACTTATGGACATGTTGATGGACCGAGAGGTAAATAGAACCGAGTATCGGAACACTGTCCAATTTCTTTTAGTGCATAGGGATTAAACAGTTTTGAACCATTTCCTGAAATCATGTATGAAACATTTGTAGGTTATACGAAATGAGGCTTTGCTGCTTCTTACTTACCTGACTCGTGAAGCTGAGGCAATTATCTTCTCCTACTGTATCTTCTTCAATCTATCTCTTCCCAAATATTATACCTTGGTGATTTTATTTCCAGTGCATTGTGCTGTTTTCTTACCGATGTACTGTTTTTATATCTTTAGGAGATTCAAAAAATTGTGGTCTTTGAAGGTGCGTTTGAGAAGATTTTTAGTATTATTAAAGAGGAAGGAGGCTCTGAAGGTGGTGTTGTTGTACAGGTGACTGAATTGCACCTGTTGCCTAGTTACAGCGTGGATTTTCTTTCTATTGGTTAAAATGAACATTTTTTTTGGGAACTTTGCAAGGGGCGTGATTCTTTTTACATGATCAACTCTTTTGTTTGAGCAGGACTGTCTGGAATTATTAAACAACCTTCTGCGAAACAATACTTCGAATCAGGTTGGTCAACTTGTCTAATGATCTGTCATGCCTCTATAACAGCATGTTACCCGCTAATCCTGGTGTTATGTACTATCTAGATACTGCTGAGAGAGACCATGGGATTTGATGGTTTAATTTCAATGTTGAGGCTGAGAGGGCGTGCCTACAGCTTCACCCAACAGAAGGTTTGGTACTGATATCACAGTAGCTTTGCATTTTGTCTGCTGGTGGATGGTGTGCCTTTTTCCAGTAATTATATCATCACATAATCCTTACTGTGGCTTTCTTCTGTTATTTGAACAAACACCTTGCCAGTAGACAATTAATCTACTAAGTGTTCTTGGGACAATTAATTTGCTATTGGTGGGAGGTTCTGAAGCTGATGCGGGAAAAGATGCAAATAAGCTGACAAATAAAACTGTCCTGGTTCAGGTTGTATACCAAATCACAAGCTCTGATGCATAAAAAGGGGGAGGCTTTGCAACGATAAAGATGTTGCTCATACGTTTTCTGTCGATTTTGTTTGCAGAAAAAGGTTCTTGATTATCTCTTACTGTTGGGTGTGGAAAACCAATGGGCTCCAGTTGCTGTCCGTTGTGCTGTAAGGCATCTTCCTTGCTCCTAAATTTTCTGTATCCTTAGAGAGAAATAAAATTCATTCATTCAGTCTTTCCATCAAAGAAACCCTGAGGATATTTTTCTTCCCCTAGACTTATCAGTTTTCATTTATTTATCCTTGGAAATTTTGCAATCTTCACAGGCATTGAGGTGCATAGGTGACTTGATCGCTGGGCATCGAGGGAATCTAGATGCTCTTGCTAGCAAAGTTCTAGGGGAGAATCACCAAGTTGAACCTGCTCTGAATTCTATTCTTCGAATCATTTTGCGGGCGTCCAGCATGCAGGAGTTCATTGCAGCTGACCATATTTTTGAAAGATTTTGTGAGGTTGGTTCCTTTGTCTTCACATAAGAAGAGAATGTATCGTATCCATTGCTGAGATAGACCATTCTCACTACTGTATAATTGTGATTTTGTTTGTTAGGGGAATTGTGATGGTCAATCAATGTTAGCTTCAACATTAATCCCTCAGCCATATTCAATGACTCATGCTTCCATTGATGAGGATGTGAACATGTCATTTGGCAGGTTGGAATTTTCAAGCTCACTCCTGGCTGCTGAATCTATTTGCTTATTGCTGGTTTTATCCATCTTCCTTGCACTTTGATTTGTTATCTAATTTTACCTTTTGTTGTGGCAGTATGGTTTTGCATGGTCTTACTTCGAGTGAAACTGATGGCGATCTCGATGTATGTGTTGACTTTTAGGGAAAATTTAAATACCTGTCTCATCATACAATTTCTAGGACTAAGGTTCTATATCTAGTGGTTGACGGATCATATTCACTGAATATATTTTGAATTCTAGACTTGTTGCAGGGCTGCTAGTGTCCTGTCATATGTACTCAAGGACAACATGCAGTGCAAGGAAAGGGTACGATTTCCCCTTCTTTTATTTTTTTTATAAAGTAGACTATGGATCCTTAGTCATTTCTGGTCTTTTTACTTAGTCACAAGAAAAGCATGAGGCCTTTACTAATTTTCACTTAGTCACAAGGAAAGCGCACATCTCTTTCTTCAGTTTTTCCATGGTTGATCTTTGGTTCAATTTGTCAGGTTCTAAGGATAGAACTCGAGTCATCCTCAGGAGCCTTGGGACATTCAGAGCCATTGATGCACCTGATGGTGAAATATTTAGCTCTTGCATCAGGAACGAAACACAAAGAAAGCAAATCGAACACATCAGGGAACTCATACATTCAACCAATCATCTTGAAGCTGCTTGTCACTTGGCTTTCTGATTGCCCGCCAGCAGTCAATTACTTCCTCGATCTCCGCCCTCACTTATCATATCTGCTCGAGCTGGTCTCAGATCAGTCCGCAAC